AAGCCACTGGGCGTGTGTGAGTAAGGAAGAGGTCACCCAGCGTTCAATACTGGCAGTTCTAATACATCTGTGTGAAATTTGGAAAATACTGTTCTCCAAATTTCTCATACCCTCCTATTAATCTGTTAAAGCTTCAAGATATTCATGCTCATTGTCCCAAAGACAATGGCCAAACTACTTCGCACCTTGAATCAGCCCTTTGAAGCTTCCCTGATAAGATTTATATCAAAGAGTTTTGGTGTAGGGAGACTGCTGTAAGTAGTTATTAAAGAGGCCAGTGGTGGGGGAGAGAGGGAGAGAGAGAGAGATCTGCCCAAGTACCATTAACAAGAACAAAATTACATTTGCATAGCGCCTTTCATGTTGGGAGGTTATACCGATCAATTGAATTGCTGGTAAAGCTTTCCATTTTCCTACTTTTGCTTAATTATTTTAAGCTCTTGGTTAGTCTGCATCCGTACATATCTAAATTTATATTTATTTTGAATTCAGAATTAAAAGATTATTCTTTAATAGAAAAGGGAGCCGATGTGATTACGGATATATTTCTGTCCTTATTTTCTGGAGACTGAAGAGAGATTTCCCATAATTTTATTGTCAGCCTTAATTGGTCTGACCTTAATTGTTTATGCTTGTATAATCGGATCATGCTGCTGAATAAGCTCAGAAAGAGTGAAGTCGGGTAAAACAGAGATTTGTAGTAACTGAGAGAGGAACTAATGAGAGGGCATTTGCAAGGATAAGCCAGACAATCGTAGATTTATGAATCATCAAACAAACATGCACTATAAATGAAGAAGAGAAACCCACTGGTTGTTTTGTTTTGGCTGGATATCTGACATATGCGGAAACAAACCCATCACCATGCTCAAGAGTATACAAACCAAGCTGAGATTCCCATGCATCCCACCTTCACATGGAAATCCCAGAGACAGATTGTTGAAATGAAATGGTCTCTCTCTCCCTGGAGGGACTCATCCTGCTTACCTAATTCCGGAAAGTATTTGGCTCAGGTTGGCAAGAGCCAAGGCTTGGGGAGACCCCAGGGTGTGCACTGGGGTACTGCTGGAGTCTAACCAGCTAAACTCTCATAGCTTGCCATTGATATTGCTGTCTGGCAAGCTTTTTCACTGCTTGTCCATCTAGATCCACCCTACCCGTTAGGCTTGCAGGGTTAATAGAAGCTGAGTGGGATGACTCCCTGCCCCCAGTGACTGGTCTGTCCTTCCAGGTCCTGCCGATGAGCCAGGCTGGCTGTGCTGCCATCAGCAGTGCCCTGGAATACTAGTGCCCTGGACTCGTTTGGCTCAGGAACTGTGCTACCAAGATCACCACAGAGGGTTGGCTCGATTCCAACATTCCATTGCCAGGCATGTCACCTTGGAGTTCAGGTCCAAGGAGACCCCGCTTACAAAGCTGTTCTGAATATGTGCATGCAGATTATCACAAAATGCAGGTGCAGACTATTTCAATTGGATTCAATTCCAAATAAACTAGTTTGATCACAATCATTTTCATTCCTGGAGCATAGTGCAACAAGTAAAGGATAAAAGTGAAAATGGCTGTCTGCAAATTATGATGTAATTAAAAGTTTGGTTTCCAAATATGGCAATGCAATGTGGAGAAGGAGAAAAGGGGAACAAAAAGTATTAATATTATCATTTCTTAATAATTGTAGTTCTCCAAAACAGATTGCAAGTTGCAGACAGAACAAGCTTTTTTAAGTCTGTAACCAGAAATCACTGCAATTGGGACATGTCCCAGTACATTTCCAGAAGAACACCACGCCTCTGTATGAAGTCACCACTTGGACACCTTCACGTTCAAAACTAGGGGTTTAAAAGTTTTATTTCAACCATCTTGACGACTGATTATAACACCATATGTTATACGTTCAAAATCAGGTTGCGAGTTCTGATGGTGTGAAGAGCGACACTATTTATGTATGAACAGGCCCAAATTACCTTAGGAACGAGCTTGAGAGTCTACCAAATATGAACAAATAGTTTCAAAAGTTTTAAGAATTCTACTGTCCATACAGAAAATATGGCTGAATTTAAAAAAATAAAAATGATTGTGTAGCACAGTAGATTTCACACTTTGCAATTTCAGCATTGTTGTGGTTTCTTTCTACACTCCCTGAATGAGCAGGTCATACGTTTAATAAGCAACAGTGACTGATGCCTTGCTTACTCATTTTTAAGAAAATACATTATTTAGTTGTTTTTAATTTAGCAGCCGGTCTCGGTTTCTCTTTAATTACATGTTAGATAACTGTTATTTCAACGGTAAGCTAAGTGATTTTAGCTACTCCAGAAACACCCCAACACAAAGCCTTGGCTCTGGCTAACTTGTGCCGAATACTCTCCAGAAATAGGTGAGTGGATCACCCCTCTTGGGGAGAGTGTGCATTCCATTCCAGACACGGATATTTCCATGTGCAGCTTTCAATCTGGTTTTGATGTCTTAAACATGGTGATGAGATTCCACATGTGTTAAGACACCCGACTGACCACACCTAACTAAGTGGATTATTATAAAAGTCACTGTTAATCATTTAGATCAGAATTCTGAAAATAATCCTTGCATTTGGTATAGAACAACCTGCATTTATACAGTATTCTTATCATGGGACAGTGTCTCAGCAACCTTGGGTGGTGGAGCTTGATTGGGGAGAGGTGACATGGTTAGAGAGAAGGGATTTAAAGACGGGCAAAAGGGGATTGAGGAAGAAAGCTCCAATTTGGGATATAGTGGCTCAATGACTGTCGATGGCAGAGCAGAGAGGATAAGGGACATGCAACAACAACAAATTACACTTGTATAGCGGCCTTCACGTCGGAACGATGTCCCAGGGTACTGGACAATTAGGGGTTGGGAGTTGGGGTCAGGAGGGGAGGAAGGCGGGGGGGAGGATGGCCGAAAGCACAATCGAAGAGGAAGGTCCTCAGACGGGACTTGAAGGAGGCAAGAGAGGGGGTGAGGCAGAGGAGAGGGATTGCGGGATAGCGTTCCAGAGTGTGGGGGCAGAGATGCTGAATGGCTGACCACCAATAGTGGTGAGGGAAGTGCGGAGAACCTGAAGCAGGATAGTGTCTGCTGAGCGGAGGGAGCGGACAGGCTGATTGGGGTTATGAGGTCAGAGAGGTTGGGGGGAGCAAGACCGTGGAGGACCTTGAAAGTAAGAACGAGGGTTTTGTACTCGATTCTCTGAGGAATAGGGAGCCAGTGAAGCCGGGCAAGAACAGGGGTGATAGGTTCCCGGAGCCTGGTGTAGGAGAGGACACCATCTGCAGGGTTCTGAATAATCTGCAGCTTGTGGAGGGAAGAGTTGGGAAGTCCAGTGAGCAGGTAGTCAGCGTAGTCAAGCCAGGACGTAATGAAAGGGTGGATGAGAGTCTCAGCGGCCTGTGGTGAGAGGCAGTGGCAGAGGCGGGCAATATTATGGAGGAGTGGAAAAGCGGAACAGGTCACGGAGCGAATGTGGTGTTTGAAAGATAGCGACGGTTGAAAAGGACACCGAGATTTCGGATTGGCTTGGTGAGGTGAAGAGTGCAGCCATTAATGGTGATAGTGTTAGCGGCTGAGGTGAGGAAGCGCTGCCGGGAGCCAAGCAGGAGGGCCTCTGTCTTGCATTCATTGAGCTGGAGGAAGTTGGCTCTCATCCAGGACTTGATGTCAGACAGACACTTAGTCAGGACATTAACGGTCCTGGAGTCGAGGTAGCGGCGGTAAGGCAGAGCTGGGTGTCATCCGTATATAGGTGGAAATTGACCCCATGCCTGAGAATGACCATCGCCAAGCAGAAGCGTGTATAGATTGAAGAGGAGGGGAACGAGGACAGAGCCCTGAGGGACGCCACATGTGCCATAAAGTGCAGAGGGTGGAAAGATAGAATTGGAACCAGGCAAGAACAGAACCATTGAGATCGAGGTGAGAGGAGAGGCGGGGGAGAGAATACAGTGGTCAACAGCATTGAAAATGACCAAGAGTTGGAGAAGAACGAGGAGACAGAGAGCCCTGATCGCAGGTGGACAGAATGTCATTTGTCACTTTGAACAGAGCTGTCTCTGTGCTCTGAGCAGCCAGAAACCCAGATTGGAGGGGTACATGGAGGGTGGACCGAGGAGTTGGTTTATGGTAAAAAAGAGGAGTCTTAGCTTCCCAGATGATTTGGGAATAAAAGAATGACTTAGCTGAGGCGAGAGTGGAGAGGTAGGTCTTGGTGCAGTCCTCGCAGATCTGACGGTGAACCGGTAATTTAGATTTGAGCCAGGTGCATGCGGTGGAACGTACCTAAGATTTGAGGGAGCGGAGGTGGCTGGTGTACCAGGGGGATTTATGAGAAAAGGAGGCAGTGCAGGTGATGATAGGCGCAAGAGTATCGAGGATGGCTGAGAGGGAGTTGTTTGGAAGGCAGAGACTGCTGAGCGAAGGGGCTGGATAGAAGAGTGGGGTATAAGCATGTTGGAGAGGTGGTGAGGTGAATAAAGTGCAAGAAGTGATTTCTACGTGAGGATTTTAAAATTCATCCATTCTGCAGTAGGGACACAGGGAGCCTAGCAAAGGCTGAGGTGAACGGGTGCAGCATTGAGTGTAGATGAGGATACAGGCAGTGGAGTTTTGAATCCACTGGATTTTATGAGTGTTGGAGCTGGGGAGACTGATGGGGAGGGCATTGCAAAAATCAAGTCGGTACAGCGCCTTTCATATCGGGAAGACGTCCCAAAGTGCTTCACAGGATTTACTGTAAAATGCAGTGCCTATGTGTTTTACGGGCAAAACACACCAGCCAATTTGACACAGCAAGTACTACAAACATCCATGAAGCCAACGACCAGTTTTATTTGGGGGATGGTTGGCCAAGATATCGTGAGATCGGGTCAAGACTACCAGTTGAGCCAAGCAGAGATACAACCCTAAGAATAAAGTGGCTAGTTTTATAGTTTTTTGGGCTAATATTCTTTCACTTCATTTGAAAAGGTAGCCAAAGGACATACCGTTTAATTCGGCTTTTATGTTTTCTGTGTCTGTATTCGTATTCTCCTCCGAATCCAGCTCTTGATGAGGTGCAATACTGCAACACGGTGGGATCAATCCCTTCTCTTCGAGTAAGCGGCGTTGCTTTCTTTCTTCTCTTTCCTTCAGAATAATCTAACAATAGATTAGGGGCACAGTGTTAGACATGAGACCAAAAACACATCTGAATCAGATAACACTGGTTCCAGAAGAGTAAATACACATTTAAACTAGGATTTCTTATTAACCAGCTCCGCACTAAATCTTGATAAAATTGCATTAACGCATCACGTTCACAAGTCACACTGCAAGAAAATAATTGTTCTCACATTAACCCTTCAAGCACATTTATGGACGATTCCATCTCTGGCGTGGAAGGTGGGAGCAACTATGTTTATTCATTTTAGACTTGAATCAAAACAGGCAATGGAGGCTAATTTTGCCACCAATTAAAAGGTAAAAAAATGGACAGGACTGTATTGTTGAAATGGTCCCATCAATCATTAGCGCAGAACACAAGTAGAAATCTGAGATTGAGGCTCTGCAGGTGTATAACATTCCATAGTGCTCTGAAGTGTAAAAATATGCACATATGTACAAATACATCAGAAAGAAATGGGTGGGAAGTATCAAATGTCCACAACAATGAACAACTTTTTGCAACATAAGGTAAGAAAAGAGAAGTCTTCCCAAAACTCACCTCTCTCATACACAATCATATCCCTCCGTTCTGATTAGATTTTTAACAGTTCCAATGATTTTAACTATTTCTTTACGTAGTAGATTATTTGAACATTTCTAGCTCTGAATACACAAATTTTCCTAACAACAGTTTGAATTTATCTTTTGACCACTTATCCATTCACGTCAGCCAATCTTAATTTGCTGATGTATTCTGGAGCTGACCTTAATCATATCTTTAGTATTAAAATACTTCTAGATTTTAAATTTAAATTCCTCTAATGTTTAATTGCAGCTCATCCTCTTTTACACTGTTATTTTGTTCTGCCCCATGCTTAGGACAACTTGTGTAGATTTTAATTCTGCTATCTGGCTGTATATCTTAGCTTTATAAATTGCTTCACCACATTGTCAAACATCCAAAGGAACCTGCGAATGACCATAGACACCACTTTATGAAGAAATTCCCACTATATGCCAATTCCATTTATTATACACCATATTTTTTCATCGCCAACATTTTATATAGTGTTAATTCCAGTTGCAGAATGGTCAAGAATAACATGCAAAGGAGAAAGGTAGAAAAAAAAGAGAAAAAATAGATTGGTGTGTACTGACAGAAGACATGACAGCTTGTGGAAAAGTGGAACAAGTGTCCAAAGGTTAGCGCACTAGTTTCCATGGAACTATCTTTAAACATAACTATAACATCTCACAGGAAAAGCCTGGTCATACATCTGGTTCTGAAAACACAACTGCTTGGAAATTGGTCAGTTAGGTATCTCAACCATGCACAAGTCTCCAAACCAAAACTACCGCACTCTAAATGTGCACCCTCTCGCTTACCTAATCCCAGAGAATTTAGATCAAGGTTTTTGGACCACAGGTAAACTTTCCATCACTTGTCCAGCTAGGATGATCGTATGGCTTTGGTACAACTGACGTCAACAATTGCAACATTGACATTTTGATGATGTATTTAGTGCAGATGCAAACAATATATCCCAGTTCAAACGTGGTGTGGAGTCTTTTGACTCCCAACACCAACACCAGAGGAGCACGCAAAGTCTCAATAGCTGAACCAAAGACCTTAGCATGTGTAACATAGGACAATTTAAAACATGGGTCTTAAGTAACTGGTTTGGATTGAATAGTCCAAAAAGCTGTTTTGCAAGAACTAGGTAGAACTGGGAATAATATCATCTAAAAGCTTCTAATTTTCTCTGTTCAATTATATAATGCACAGAATTGCAGTCACATCAACGTGAGAACAGGCTTCAGAGTCCATCAAGTTTCAGTGTAGAATAATAATAATCCTTGCATTGATATAGCGTTTTTCACGTCTTCTAGATGTCTCAAAGCTCTTCACAGAATATGCTGTAAAGTGAATTGACTGTATATTTGTGGGAGAAACGCGGCAGCCAATTGCGCACAGCAGTGTCCCACAAACAGTCGTGGATTGAAAATGACCAATTTATTATTGTTTTGTTTTTTGGAGGGATTATTATTAGGCGTGTGGAGTAAGGAAACTTGCCCAAGGTTTCGCCCTGCCTGGAATTGAACCCAGCTGTCTCACTTGCAAGGCAAGTGCTCTAACCACTGAGTTACAGGACTCCAGAATATACAGTACTGATGCAGTAAATCGTGTTTCGTCCACAAAATATAGTCAATTCACTTTACAGTGTGAAGTGCTTTGAGACATCTCAACGACATGATAAGGCGCTATATCAAATGCAAGGATTATTCTTATTATTGGATTCTACTACAGCCTTTCAAATTTGACATAGAAATGTGCAATGACACCTAGTGGTCAATTTAGAAATTATATTATATAACAGCTACCCAACTGAGACATTAGGTTTGGATGAAGAAGGCCATTCAAAAACAACTTGCATTGTATGGCACCTTCCACACAGGATAGTATCTCAGAGTGACGGGCTGTACAGTGGTGGGGGTAGATTCTAAGCAACGGGGATGGGTCGAAGAGGTAGATCTTGAGGTGAGATTTACAGATAAAGAGAGGCTGAGGTGGAGGGATTGAGGCAGGGCATTCCAGAGATCATGTTTCTATCATGTTCAAACTGGAATATCCAACACTTAGATCTGTGTTACATTTTAACTAACACTAACAATTTAATTCAATTGGCCAGGGAGTGTCTTCCCATTACAGCATCAAGCCATTTCTTAAATGAGTCTATTATTAATTATTATCATCCTTAAATTTGATATTGCACCTATCAACTTGGAAGGATGTCTCAAAGTGCTTCAAAGGATATACTGTAAAGTGTAATGACTATTTTGTTGGCAACTGCATTTCGTAGGGTATTGTCCTACCTGTATAATTTGTTTTGATAATGCTTTACAGCCATTATTAATTACCCTCAATGTAAAGAGATACTTCCTGGTGTTGTCTTAGTCTTTTGCATCTTTTGTACAATTTCTCATAGATTCTGGATTTGGGTTAAGTATTAAAAATAAGTATATTTAAACAAACTATAAACTGGAACATATCAGGACAAAGCTCATATTATTTTGATAGCCTTTCCAAGAGTATTCCTTTCAAGCTATTACAGCATATAGTCTGGCTGAGATCATATGTCTTTTTCTCTCAATATACAAAGAGCACATTTTTTCTAAGTAGAACGAATAGCAAGTACATGACAAGCAGACATCCAACTGTTTGCAATTCCCCTCTTCTGTTTGCATTATTAACACCTCTATCTGTTGCAATCCCCTCCCCACCTTTGTTTTGCACCACTAACATCTCTTTAACCCATCATCCCCTGTCCTCTTCCCCATTTTCTCCTTTGACTTGCTTGCCCTGTCCCCCCTCTCTGTTAGCCCTTAAAAGTCTCTCCTTCTCAACATGCCCCAGTACTGACGAAGGGTCATGGATCCGAAACGTTGACTCACTTTCCTTTCTCCATAGATGCTGCCTGACCTGCTGAGTGTTCCCAGCGACTTCTGTTTTTGTTTTTGATCCAACTAACCTTTTTGAGTGGTGTTGGTTTCTTAGCCTTTGGGATTTCTCTTTGTTTTCCACGTTTAACTAAAGGAGCACTAGAGTCCAAGGGATTATGAGGCATCTTATCCCGGTTCAAGTGTTGAGGTTGCCTCTTCGATGTTGTGGAATCTTTGGGAACCAGTGCACCACCAACTATAATGGAATGATCATCATTTTTTTTTAAAAAGAGTTTTATGATCAAACTGTCAACAAATACTAAACAGAAAGAATATAGCAAAAACCAATGATCACATCTGAGGAACCACAAGGGAATCTTGGATTAGAAATAATGCAATGGCTCCACAAAGCTAAAATACATTAAAATCCCTCTATCACTTCCATACTCTTAAGTCGTTGATTGTATATTTTAAAAATAACAGTATTACAGTGCTTACCTGTGAACACTATGGGCTTAGGGGTCTGTTTGGTCGTCTTTTCCTGCTGCCTTTGTTCTAACACAGCCAGCATGTTACCAAAATCCAGCGTCACTGGTATTTCACTCTTTTTACTGCTTTTCTTCGGGGCTTCCTGAACAAACATCAACAAGCAAGTAAATAAGTTTGGTCTGTGGGCTCCTATCCTTTGGTAATATCCTGCAAGATTGTCATTTCATGCGTGTAAACTCAAAAAAAATCTGTATAAATAGCATGTACACGCAACACCCATTCTTCACACTGAAAACTGACTGCGCCAGCAATCCAGGTGTAAAGCTCACAAGTACATTTTTGAACTCAATCAAAATCCATTCATACTCACAAAATCAAAATTTAGGTTACACTGATACAATACCAGACATATTTTGTGACTTAAAAAAAATTGAATCTTACAGATTGGGAATGTGTACTTACTTAGTAAATGCACCTGTTCAATTCAATATTGGGAATTTAAATCATTTCATGGAATACGTGAAATGATTCCCACTGTTTGGAAGAATTTTAATATATTTCAAAGCTTCCTGCATTTGTGATCTTTAAACTCTCATGGTTACATTTTTAAACCAGGGTGTTCAATAGTTTTGTTAAAGGCCAGAATTACCTGAATGCTGATCAACTCCAACAACTAATTGTACAACTTTAGCAAATCATTTAAAATGGTCTGATCGTATTGTACTATCCCCAACTCCTCCCACCACCGGCTGCAGATCATCCAGAACTCTGCAGCCTGTGTCCTCTCCCGCACCAGGCTCCGCGACCCCATCCTTGCCTGGCTGCCCATCACTCAGAGGATACATACAGTTCAAGATCCTGGTCCTCACCTTCAAAGCCCTCCACAGCCTTGCTCCTCAATACCTCTGTGACCTCCTAACACCCTACCAATCTGTCCACTCCCTCCACTCAGCGGGCTCCGGCCTGCTTCACATCCCCTGCCTTGCCTGTCCCATCACCAGCGGACAGGCGTTCAGCCTCTCTGCCGCCACCCTCTGGAACTACATCTCACAGTCACTTCACCTCGCCTCCTCCCTTGCCTCCTTCAAGACACTCCTCTTCGACCGTGCCTTCAGTGGTCATCAGCAGGCTGTTGGTGACTGATTTCAATGTAGGCTTTCTCCTCACAGGTATCACAAGCAACAACTTTACTAAGCTGAAAGTATTCTGCCCACCTTTGCGGATATGTCTAGCCAAAATGTAGCATCAATTTTGAATATTTTTTGTTTTTTATTTTGCCCACAAAATATACAGTCAATTCAATTTACTGTATATTCTGTGAAGTGCTTTGAGACTTCTTGAAGATGTGATAACAACAAAAACAAGATTACATTTGTATAGTGCCTTTCACGTCGGGAGGACGTCCCAAGACGCTATATCAAGCACTATCTCAAGCGCTATAAGGTGCTATATCAAATGCAAGGATTATTATTATTATTTTGCAAACTGAATGTACGCAGCTGTTAAGTGATTGGATTAAGGGAACAAATTGCTTGATTGAAAGGTTTTCAGTATAAAAGATCAATCACAACTGACTGGCTCTGCACCCTTTATTGGCTGTTCAGAGACAAGTCAGTTGAGGTTAATCATTTATCTATACTGATAAAGATGAAGTATCTGTCTGTGTATCTGTGTATCCGACACTCATGCAACAACTGATTGACATAGAGACATGGTTTGTACCTCATCGGAAAGGTCTTGCATTTGGCAGTGTCATGGGCATATTTTTTGGGGGGGGCTATCGCTGTTGAGCTATTATTAACAAGTGCTTTAATTAAGCCCCAAAATATGAGGTATGCATCGTATTATGCAACTACATAGCGACAGAGGAAAGCACACACCGTTCAGAGATACATCTATATTCTGCAATAAATGTATGGCACTTTTTTCTGGTTGTCATCAGAGCTAGAGTCCTCCCATGTGGGACAGACAGAGAGAGAGAGACTGAGAGAATATATTATAAAGTGTGGCGACTGTGTGTTTTGTGAGAGAGACAGAGAAAGACTGAGAGAGAGAGAGAGAGAGAGAGAGAGAGAGACTGAGGGAGGGAGACACTGAGAGAGAGACACTGAGAGAGAAACTAAGAGAGAGACTGAAAGAGAGATGGAGAAAGACTGAGAAAGAGACCGGGAGAAAGAGACAGAGAGAGTGTGAGAGAAAATATATTAAAGGAGTCTACCCACAGGAGTCCTCCCAGCTGATTATAGATAAAGATAAAATGTCTGTCCGTGTGTCAACCTACATTCCATATTGGATCCTTTGGTTGCAACTGGTACAACTAGTCCCGGAATATGTCAGCATTTCTCAGTTCCTTGGGAAATGCTAACATAATCACATATACTTTATGTGGTTTTGTTAGCATTTCCCACGGAACTGGACAAGACTAAACGTACTTGGCGAGTGCAAGACAATTATTTATTGAGGACCTGAGAGCTTAATTCTTCAAGGAATGTTCTTTCCTCCTCCTCCTCCTATCTTGGTTTCCCATAGAGTAGACCTTCCCCATTCGTACCAGCACAAACCCAGCTGGTAGAAGGTGCCCGGAAACCTCTCAGCATGGCCTTGGGATGTTTCCTCACAACAGCCCTGAGCATAATAACTCAGACTGTTCACAAACAGATGCTGTAACACCATTCGGTTGTATTTCCATACCCCGTGGCTCAAAAATGTTTAACTACTTCCCTGTTTAAAAAAAGTCATAGAAAAAATAAATAACAGCCCATGATTATGGCTTTTTTTTTAAAAAAACAAGTGTTGGCCTATTCTCTACCATCCCCTCCTGACTGCTTGTCAGAGTACAGTTCACTGTACCTCACTGGTTCTTCAGCTGTCAGCCTGGATATTGGCACTGAGAGATGGCAGACTATTTAACTGGGCTAAATATTTAAGGTTTAATATTAACTTGTGCATCACTTCCCTGTCAATATCCAGCAGCAACTGCAATTCCCCATTTGAGGCTGATGTTTACTAAGCTGAGAGAGGATGCAAGCTAACTTAAAAGTTTTTCTCACTCAACTTCTGTAAAAAAAATAAGAAAGTTCAAGATGTTTATTTAGTTTGGGATTCAAGCAGTATGATGGGAATAGGACAGTGTTGACTTGAAACAATGCATAGTTGTTTCTGCCAAATAAAATAGGCCTTTGTGCGGTTTGGAAAATACGAGCTCAACTCATTATGACAGACCTCTACTTTTCAGACTGCTTTGTGAAATAAAACCCTCCAGCTGATAGGAGGCACACAGACAGTCACAGAGACAAGTGACAGAGCAGATGCATATCAAGTAAATTATTGATGGCACTGAGTGGCTCTGAGAGTAAATCCTTTCCTTATCCAAACAGCAAGTTATTTTGAACCATAGCAGCCTTCCTTCTCGCCAAGTTACACGTATTTTATTCCGATGAGAAAAGGGTTATATATCACCTGTACTAACCATAGATTTCTTCTGTGCACTGCGGGGCACTTTAACTCCAGCAGATTCTTTTCTCAGAATTTGGACTGGTTTCTGATCTACGTCGGGAGCTGTAGAGGAGGACTCTGTCACACTTAAAGTGCCATTCATTGAAGACTAAAAGAACAAACCAGGCACATTCAACGATTTACAATTACAAGCTGCAATAAAAACAATATGGCTTTTAAACTCGTAACAGGCAGCATTTATATCAAGGCATCATTTTCAGATTGCTTTCAAATGAAATTAAAAGTGTTTTAATGTCTTGATCAATAAGAAAATAGGTTAAATAGGCTAAATTTAGTATTAAAAACAGTTTTCATACTTTTATTAGCCATCCCTTTTTATATTATGGTCAGGAAAAAAAATTTGCTCGATTAAAACAATTGCAATTCACATGGCTCAAGTGGGGGGAAAGTTGTTTTTTACATTTGTCATTAATTAAGACAAATAGGTAACAGAAGAGACACTATTGCTTGCTAAGATCAGATTTGTTGGGCTATGGTTTCCACAAAAATGCTTTGTAATGATTTACTCAAGATATTCTTGCAAGATGCACTACAAAACATTGAGATAAGGATACCATGAATTTTACTTTTATAATGTATCCTCCTCAGAACTGAACTTAATGTTCTATTGTCAGTCCGCATCAGTTCTATTCTCTGCAGAGCTACTCCCCCATTGATTTAGAGGAGATCACTCATTGGGCACCTTGAGAGTTACCTTGCCCCAAAAATAAGAGCTGTGAGAATTATTTTACTGAAATAAACACTTCGTCATTAGTTGGTATCTCTGGAAACTGAATGATCTGAGTTAAGTACAGTCCAGGCGCAGTCTCCCATCGATCTTTGTTGACTTCAACCCTGTGGCTCCACCACCTGTTCCAGATGGCCAAGCCAAGACTTCAATGTGGGTACAAAGCACAGATGTGACTCTGTGTCATATCATCTCATGCTTATGCTACCTTTTGCTTAAAAATAATCTTCATGGCTTTCAGAATTAACAATTATTTTGTTTCAGTTTCGCATGACAAATGAAGTTTTAGCCACTCCTTTAATTATAAAAAAATTAGATTTCATTCCAAAACCTATTGAATAGTTTAATGTTGGGAGTAACCGTCACTGAAGACTGGATGACAAAAGTAGCCTACTTCCACAATTCTTTCAATGGTGTTTAATGTGACATGAAAGGAGATTTTGAACGCAAAGATTTTTACTTAAAAATGATACATTTTTTAAGGCACCGAGCATTAATCTGATTACACCTTGTCAAGTGAAGTCTAAAAAATTGCAATGGTGCTGGCAAATTGGATGATCACTGCAAAAGTTGAGAACCGAACAATTTTCCTAATTCACCCTAGCCTGTATAACAATATAACTTAAGACAACAATTCAATTTATTCAGTTTCAAAATAGCACTTTAGGCCCAAAGGAATAAAGTTTTCTTACCTCTAATTGACTCCTGGTAACCTGATTGTAGTAAAGGATTTTATTTTGTCCAGGATTGCTGGCTTTGTCTGAATTGCTTTTTGCTGATGCTAGATCTGGAAATTCTTCATCATCCTACGGATTCAAGAGGAGTTAATTCTGCTGTCACGGTAAAGTTTGTCTGCAAATAGATCCAGACATTCTATCGAATTACTTTTAGATATGGAAATTATTTAAATGAAACCCTTTCTCTGACATCAGCACAATCAAAAGGAGTGCCCAAGTTAAAAAAAAACACAACTATGACATAGAAAAAGACAATACTAAATAAAAAAAATTACATCTTAGTCACACTGAAACATGTCAAAGTTCTTCATAAGTAATTATTATCAAGTGAAGCGACTGTTTCTGAGGTTACAAAAAGCCTTTATTTGCACCACTAAAGTCCCTCAAACAAACAATGGCAAATTATTCTTAAGATTTTAGTTCAAGACACAGGGAAGAACTTCTTTCTCTTTTCAAATAATGCCTCAGAATTATTTAAAGTCCACCCAAACAGGCAGACTGGACCTCGGTTTACTATCTTATCCAATCCAAAAATAAATCATCTGTACCCTTGTTTGAAGAAAAAGTTGTGAAGAAATAATAAATTCTTATTATATAATTGCATAATAAATGTTAAGTATACAAGAATAATCCAAAGATGGATGCATTAACTTCCCTTGAACAGGGGGCATAGTTATGCAAATTCCTGGAATAACAGTGTCAGAGCAGCTTTTCTGCCTGCCAAGGAGGAAAACGTACAGAGATAGGCGACAGCATTGACATCCTAATTAAAGAAGAACTAACCCAAGTGCACAGAGAATGCCAATAAATCCTTATTGCTTGATATAAAATAATCTCTGAAATACAAGTCGAGATGTGAGTAACTACTGAGTTGTTAACTAGATGCATTTGTTAAATAATGTGCTTCTCAAGACCCTCCTCTTCGACCGCGCACTCGGCTACCCTCTTACCCCTACCCAACCCCCTGCTCGGGTCCAAATCCCTGACTGTCCAGCGCCTTGGGACATCCTCTCGACCTGAAAGGCGCTTTACAAATGTAATTTGTTTCTTGTTATTAAAGTAAATAAATACAGGGGCAACAGGAAGAAAGTTTGGAGGAAGTTCCAGATCATGTTGTGTTGCACCTTAATTCACCCTTGAATGGATTTTAAACTATTGCTTCTATTAATAGCAATAAGTGTGGTAATATGTGATTTGTTTAATTACCCCTGACTGCCTTACTACAATTAAATGGGTAACAGCCTCCCTTGGAAGCATTTGGCTTCTGGGGCAGAAGATTATTGGTACAAATTCCATATAAGACCTTTGAGCTCGCAGTTTGTGATGACTTCAATGCAGTCCTGGGGAACACCTCATTGGAGGAGGTGTTGCCCTTTGAATCAGATGTTAAACTGAGGACCTGTCTGCCTGTTGGGATGAATGTTAAGATCCCATGGCACTACTTTAAAGGTGAAGATAATTTCCCCTGGTGTTCTGGCTAAAGATCCTCCAAATAAAATCAGCCATTCACTTTAGTGCTGTTTATGGGAGTTGCTACGTGTGCAAATTGACCGCTATGTTGGGCTACAGTCACTACTTCTGACAGCAATTATCTGAAGTTCTGTCTTTTTTGAACATTTTCGGCACTATTATCAAACACAAGGATTAGTATTACCTATATAGTTTCCCTGACAAGCAATTGACAAGATCTATTGGCAACTCAAAGTGAACTTTTGGCAACACAAGACATTCGTAAGGAATGCTAAAGCACTGGCAACCACCACAGCACAACTTGAATGACCTTTGACCACTGCCATCATTAACAGTGGTCCATTCACCGCTGATGAAACTGGAAAAATGTGTCAATTGCCATTTGTATCTCAAAGACTTTTGTGCCTGTTTCTCCCCCTTACCTCTCTCCATAAGCAAATCCTAAACAACATAAACGTGTCAGTTTGTATTAATTTGTAGTATCCTGACTCAGTTGGTAACACTCTCATCTCTGATTGAGAAGGTTGTGGGTTCAAGCCCCACTTAGGGACTTTGAACTCACATAGTCTAGGCTGAGATTCTAATGCAGGGAGTTGTTTGAGAAGTCATTCTTCAGATGAGACATTAAAAACCAAAGCCCTGTCAGTTTATTCTGGTGGATGCTAATGACAAGAGAAGGCAGTGTCCTAGTCAATAATTATCCAGATACAAAATTGTCCACTCACTTCATGACTGTCTGTGGGACATTACTGTATCCAAAATTGGCTGCCACTTTGAAATATACACATATTTTGAGATGTTTTGGCTTGATACATCAACCGCTATATAAAATACAATGATTAGTATTATTCTGGGTCAAAGTGTTGTAAATGCAAACCACACATGAGCCCTTGAGCTCATAATCTAAAGGGAAAATCCAATACAGCATTGACAGAGCATTGTTTGTGGTGCATTCCTTCAGACAAGATGTTAAACCAAGGTCCTGACTGACTTTTCTGGTGAACTAGGTGGCCAGACATACCATGCCGCTAATTTTGATGAATAGTAGTCAACTCTAGAGCGCTGGTCATTATTCCACCTCAATCAATATTTAAAATTTTACCTGCTGCTTCAAAGAAGCTGACGGCACATATTGACTGCCACATTTACCTACTTAATAGTCAGTACTCTTCAAAGTAACTTTGTGGAAAATGCTTTGAGGCATTTTAGAGTGCAACTTGATGAGATTATCAAATGCAAGGATTATCATTATTATTATAAATGCGAGCACATCAAAACAGTACCACAATGGACAGTTTCCATAGCTTTTATTGTCCTATATAATCATGTTATACTTAAAATTCATAACTACTATTCAAAGTATATGATACTTGGCGGATTTTTGATGCGTTAAACAAGTACAGTTGATTTTTTTAAAGAAAACTTTAAACCATGTTTTGCAGATTGCTGACCCCTTTATAGGATTTAGAAGGCTGGGCTGCAATGCCACCCAGTGGTTAAATCAGGAACACCCAGAAATGTTTTTTAACAAAATAATTAATCTAAATTTTTTTTTGGACAGTAGTCGTGGTCTCACAAGATCAAAGCAGATCTTCACATCAGTCAACAAGGATTTGAAAACAGTTTATTGTGAGATTTTTATTGAATGATCAGTTTCAACGTTATTGCTTTTTTCCTTGGTTAATTCGTCAAACATACATCTATCATTGTATAAAATACCAAAGCATACTATTGTATAGCAGTTTTGGGATTATTATTTAAAACACAATTTATCAAACTTATTGAAAGCTTGGCTCAGTTAGTAAATCTCAATATGATGCTGGAACAGACATCCTTTGAATCAGAAGGATGTGTATTTCAGCACCATATTGAGACTTGACCTCAAATGTCCAGACTAATACTTGGAATAATAACAATAAAACTTAAATTTGGTGTAAGACCTTTCATGTCAGGAAGACATCTTAAAACATTTCACAAGATATACTGTAAAGTGCAGTGTATTTTGCAAATGAACAAGGCAGCTGATTTACGCACAAACAGCGTCAAGGGAATGACCAATTTTACTGGAGTCTGTTGGCCAGGACACAGGGAAAAACATTTCCAATAGTGCCATGGGATATTTACCGTCCAACTGTAAAAATCCTGCAGCATAACATCTCATCCAAAGGTCGGCACCTCCGTACAATTCAGCTCCCCCAACCCCCCCCGCCCCCCCCACCCCAGCACTGTAATGTTTGTAAGTGTTTGATATAGTGCCTTTCAAGACAGGAGGACGACTCAAAGTGCTTCATAGGATTTACTGTAGTCTAGTGATATTGTATTTTGTAGACAACACTTCAATGCAGCACTGCAGGATAATAATAATAGTAATAATAATCCTTGCATTTAGAGATGCTTGTTTTGTCCATCACATATTATTTTAAAGACTGAGAGCTGCCTGTCTGATCTTCTGGTGGACATTAAAGATCTCATTATACTATTCAAAACATATAGGAAATTTCTCCCAATCTCTTAGCTAACAAACCTCAAATGTAATTGGTTATTGTGGGACGTAGCTGGCACAAGCACTTATCACATTTACCTTNAAAAAGAGTGACTTGACTTGCCTGAAATTACTTGCAAAAGGTTACCTGTTACGTTTCCATAACATACAAGCTTGCAACTATCACATATAAAAGTTTGCTATCAACTTGTCAAGAAATACCGCAACAATAACAACTTGCATTCATATAGCGCCCTTCACTCAGGGGAGCATCCCGGAACACTTGAGCACTAACTAACACAGCAATTTAGTTGAGTTATTCCTATTGTAGTTTACTGAGGGAAAGGAGATCACTTGGATCACCAAGTTGTATACGGAAGATGGATTTAATATTTGCAGTTTTGACACTGTGAAACTAGTTTCACAGGTACCTAATCAGGTCTCCCAAACAGAAAAGGTCCACTTGTACAACTTGTCCAACAGGTTGGGTAAATCTGGCTGCCAGTGACACGAACAACATCATGATCCTTCCCCCACACTTGGCAATGTTGTAGGTATTAGAGGTTAGGACATGCCATATATTTCATAATAATAAACTTCAGATTCCTTCACTGAGGATGTTATCACTGCACATGACCCAAATTTAAACAGTATGATTACCAATAAAAAACTTTGCATTTGATATAGCACTTCTTCACTTCATTGAAAGTGCTTCACAGGATTTACTGCAGATTATAGTGGCTGCATTTTGTGGGTGAACCGGGTTGCCAATTTGTGCACCGCAAATAGCCATGAAGAGAACGACCAATTCTATCTGGAGGACAGGACACCAGAAGAAACTCCTTTCTCTTTTCAGTGTCATGGAATTTTAACATCCACCTGAATAGGCAGATTGGACCATTGTTAAACATCTCATCTGAAGGATGGCACCTCTGACAATGCAGCGCTCCCCCAAAACTACACTGGAGTGTTAACCTGGACTACGTGTTCAAGATCCTAAAATGGGGCAAGAACCCGCAGCCTTCTAACTAAGAGGTGAGAGGGCTACCAAAACATAAACAATAATAATAATCTTTGCATTTGATATAGTGCCTGGTCACTTTTTCAAGATGTCTCAAAGCACTTCAGAGTATACTGTAGTGAATTGACTGTATATTTTGCGGGTGAAATGTGGCAACCAATTTTGCACAGCAGTGTCCCACAAATAGTCATGGATTGAGTGACCAAATTATTATTATTACTTTTTCTAAGTGATTATTACCCCCAGAAAAGCGATCCTCCAATCGACTAACAACTGAGTTCCTACTTACTGCATGGTAAACAAAGACGTGTGACGTCAGGACACTTGCCTAACATTTTGCCCTGTTGGGAATCGAAGCCAGGTCCTCTCACTTGTGAGGCGAGTGCTCTAACCACTGAGCTACAGGACTCTAATTCAATTTAAAGAATGTTCATTTTACTACCCCAGTACGATATAAAATCATAAAATTAAATACCTCAAATCGAGGTAGTTCTTGCACAGTGATCTTGGTTTCCTCAGGTTTTGGAACAGCATCCAAAATGTTGGATTTCTTTTTCTTCTTTTTCATTTTTCCCGATGTTTTCGATTGTTCACCAACTTCACTCTGCAGAACAATTTGATTATGCTTACAAACCGAAAATGCAAACTTGAGCAATTACAGACTATATAGTAACCTGCATTTCTGGTTGGTCCCCGACCTTAGCAATGTTACGTGCATGTGCCTTTGGTGAAGCTGAACTGGTAACTGGTCTCCTTGGTGTTTGTGAAACAATGCTCGCCCACGATGATGTAGGTGGAGTCGCAGCCACCGTAGACTGAGCCTTTGATGTTTCTGGTGTAAAGAAAATATGCAACTTTACCATTTTTAAAAATGCAATTTATTTCACACCATTAATATTTGCCGAATGGAGTTTTAATAAATATATATTTCACCATGAAAGACAGCATCATAAACAAACACAGACAGGGTTTTAAAAAAAAGGGATGAGTTTTAAAATCGGAGTTGAGATACATCATTGAAACAAGGCTGTAATTCATATATCAACGTTGCTTGCACTGAAATCATCATATCCGATTCTCATAGTTTTACTTCATTAACATTTGTGGAACACTGCTGTACGCAATTGGCTGCCACGTTTTGCCCACAAATATACAGTTAATTCACTTTACAGTGTGTTCTGTGAAGCGCTTTGGGACGTCCTCCCGACGTGAAAAGCGCTATATCAAATGCAAGGATTATTATTATTATTTGTGGAACACTGCTGTACGCAATTGGCTGCCACGTTTTGCCCATAAAATATAGTCAATTCACTTTACAGTATATTTTGTGAAGCGCTTTGTGAGACGCCTTGACGACATGATGAAGCACTATATCAAATGCAAGGATTATTATTATTACAACACACAATATTTTAAAAAACACGAAGAGCTGTAGGATAGCTTACATCCATCTTGATGCTCATGAATTATTAGATCACCGATGCCTGAGGTATAAGTTGTATTCCGTAGCTCCTCATCTATAAATAATTATTACTCCGTGCTAAGCTTTCAAATGTGTTAATCCTTTTTAAGTGTGGAGGGAGTAAGAAGTCAAATATTTATTAGAAAATAATCATCTCCAAATGTTATTAAGAATAAATCTCAATGTTGAGAACTTTCAGGGACTGCTGCTAAATTTAACCTTCAGCATGAAGTTACTAACAACAAATAACAACTCGCATATAATCAGCGCCATTCATGTAGCATAATATCTCGGGGCACTTCAGTGTCGTGGTTGAATGTTGAGCAAGAAAGAGGGAGCTGGGGAGGTATCCATAGACATGGTCAAGAGATCTTAAGACAGGATTTGAAGATGGATTGAGAGGAGACAAGACAAAGGGATAGAGGGAGAGGGAGTTCAGAGTTCCAGAGGCTGGGGTGGAGGAACTGAAGGCTTGACCACTGAAAGTGGCACAAAGGGGGCAGAGAACTACAGCAGGCTCAAGTTAGCTGAGGCGAAAAGACAAGCAGAGGAGTAAGATAGGAGAAGATCAGAGAAACAGGGAGGTATATGGTGTGAAGAGTTTTTACAGGTGAGGGTGAGGACCTTGAAGTTGATCCATTGGGAGACTGGGAAAGAGTGGAGCCTGGCAAGATTGGGGTGATCGTGTCATATGAATAACCTAATATGTAAGAAATGATCCATAGTTTTCAGTTCCTAATTTCTTTTGGACCGATTAAAGCAGCAGCTAACCATCAATTTTAAACCCTGGACTTTTCAGTCTATTTGGTAATTTAGAAGATATATATATACTGTTTAAAATATGATGGATGGTTTCAGAAAATGTGCAGTAATTTTTAAAAAAAAAGTACTTCTACAAAGTATAATAATTATAAATCATTATCAATAATAATATCCTTTCTACCTGTAATAGTAGCGAGGGCAGAGACCGAGCATTCCTTTTGAATATTGGAAAATACATATCGCTGGGCTTTTCCCAATTCCTCACCCTAAAACAATAAAAACAGATTTTTTTTACAATCGATACAAGACATTATGTGAAATACACTTAAACAGATTCATACAGTTGCTTGCTAGGAAATGATCAGCTTTTAAGATTGTTCTGCAGGAGTACGCCAACTCCCACCTTGCTTGAGATCAGCCAACTCAAGGTGGATCTTGGATTTGTATGTTTGGTATCTATCATTTTCACACTCTTTAGTGGCTTCACTTCACACCTGTATTACTCAATAAGCTCATTTCAACAAATGCAGCTCATTTTGTCCTTTTGTTTCCTTAATGAGGAATTCTTCAAATTATTGTATCACCAATTAAAAAGTATCTACTCGCCTATAGGCGGAACGTTTTGAGGCGTCTCGGTGATGTGATAAGGCGCTATATCAAATACAAGGAATATAATTATATCATTAAAGTTTTAAAATTCAGACATATTCGTATTTGGCAAAAAATATTAAAACTGAACTTAAAAATACCAACATTCTGAAAAAGGTTTTAGAATTAGATTTTAATAGCCTCAAATTATTATCTAATAAAGACATCTAACTACCCCCACCAAAAAAATTTTGCTCGAAACAATCGCTGTCCAGTTAGTTGCCTTGGAAACTCAACTTTGTAACACAGTTCCCCTTACCGTGCTTGTAGTATTATCTGTGCACCATAGTTTGGAAGTGTGCTGGGAGCCTTCACTGGAAGGCAGGGTAGATACCTGAGAATCTTTGAGGTCATAGTTACATTGCGTAATATCACATCTTACTGTGCTCTGTAGCAAGGGAAAATCACTTAATGCAACGTCAAATGTGTCAGAAGTCTTGGGCTCAGATATATTTTGAATTTTCCGAAGTAGCTTGGATTTGCTGTGCTGAGGGCTGTTGTACTGATTTTTTTCTGGAAGATAATACAAAACACGGTGAACAAGTACCCATTGGGCATGCAAATTAAGCATTGCAATTATATTGGTTAAAATAAACAATCTTTACTATAACAGATTTAAGGTTATGTACAACAATAGGTGATATACAAATTTCAACTGAATCCAAATAATATTCTGTATATTACTTCAATGTGCAACACTACATTTTGAAGACTTGCACTTAGAATATGAAGGAACTTGCATTTTTATATGGAGGCAAATTACAGTATACCAGAACAAAGACAGAGATCTGATAGTGCTTCACAATTAAGGTAGGTTTTGATAAGGCAAATAGGAAGAAATTATTTCCACTGATCAATGAGTCAGCACCTGGAGGGTTTAAATTTAAGATGACCAAAAAACAAAGGGAGAAGTTAAATTTATTACACAGAATTATTTGGACATGGAATGCCCCATCAAAACCAATAGTTGAAGCAGGATCCATAATAGCTTATAAATGGATTTGGACAAAAATTGAACAGCAACAAATTGCATTTATATAACGCCTTTCATGTCAGGAGGACGTCCCAAGTGCTGGAAAGTCAAGGGTTTAGACTCAAGCAAGTGGGGTTTAGACCAAAGGGTGTCGGGGGGGATTGAAGAGGAAGATCTTGACACGGGCCTTGAAGGAGGCAAGGGAGGGGGCGAGGTCGAAGAGCTCCAGGATGGCGTTCCAGAGGGTGCGGGGCAGAAAGGCTAAAGGCCCAACCTCCAATGGTGGATTTGGCAGGCCAGTACATGCTGAGCAGTTGGTAGGGTTTAGGAGGTCACAGAGGTAGGGTAAAGATTTTAAACGCGATCCTCTGGGAGATGGGGAGCCAGTGAAGCTGATCGGCTCACGGAGATTAAAGTGGAAGAGGACACAAGCTGCAGAGTATAAGAAAAATACAAGAATAAGGTGAAAGAGCAGGGGACTGAGACTAAATATATAACTCTTTCAGAGAGCCAGCATTGACATAGTGGGTGGAAGAGCCTCCTTTTGTGCTGTAAAATTCTACAATTTTATGGACAATTTAGCTTAATTTAGAAAAGAAACCTGTAAATATACCTACCAGATTTGGTTGTATTTTCTCTAAACAGAGCAGTCCTTTGCAGACGTTCACCTGTAGCAGCTTCTGTGACTTCACGCACACTTTGAATGTTTTGCTCCTGGATTCTTAACTCTTTTTTGGACCTTGCCTCCTAGAAGCCACAAGCACAACAAATATCAGATACTTATCAATCTATTCAAAGAAGTTTTCGATTGCTGGATGCAACATCACAGGTTAGAGGGGATACTATATGTGTGGTAATTTTTTACCCCACACCCTGTATGTAAATTAACTGACTTCAAACTAATAATGAGGCAAGTATTTTTGAAACATGAAATGGGCAAGAGGAAACTCCAGAGACAATAAGGGTTGAAAAAGCACTCTTCTTGAAAGTAATACATTTACTGGAGCCAAGTGCACTTTGCGATATAAATTATATTTTAAAATAAAAAAATCCTTGCATTTGATAGAGAGCCTTTAAAACTGGGAGGATGTCTTAAAGCACTTCTTATGATTTACTGTAAATTGTAGTGACTATGCTAATTTGCACAAAGTATTTATTGTCCCACAACCAATAAAGAAGTTAATGCCCAATTTTATCTGGAAGTTTGTTGCCTGGGACGCCAGGAGAAACTCCTCTTTTCAAATAACACCATGGGAACTTTAATATCCACCTGAACAGGCAGACAGACTCTTAAACATCTCATTTGAAGGATGGCGCTTCCAACAATGCAACCCCCCAGCACTCCACTGGACTGAACTGAATTCAAAGTCTCGTAGAGACATCTCAAAGTGCTTCACAGGATATACTGTAAAGTGGATTGACTATGTATTTTGTGGGCAAAATGTGGCAGCCATGGACTGAGTGACCAACTTCATTGGGGATTTGTTGGCCAGAACACCAGGAGAAACTCGCTTCTCTTTCGAATGCCATGGGATCTTTAACTTCCACAGGTAGTTGGAACCTCGGTTTAATGTCCCACCTGAAGGCCGACAACTCCGACAATGCAGTACACCCCAACACTGCATTGGAGTGCCAGCTTAGTCTATATGATTTCAAGTCCCGATGTGAGACTTGAACCCAAAACCTTCTGACTCGGAAGCGAGAGTGTTTCCACTGCGCTAGGCTGACACACTTAGTTTTGAAGCAAAAGCAAATTTTTTAAAAAACAAATTGACCAACAAGCTTTTCTTTGTCAAATGTATCCCCTTGTTTCACCTTTTCTCCTGAAGACACTAATTCTTGCCAAGTAACAATAAAGAACCGATGGGAAACTTCCGTGACCTCCTACAACCTTAATGACCTGGTCGCCTCCTTGGCTTGATGAACACTGGTCTGCTTCATGTTCCCTACCCTATCCACCCCACCATTGGCGGGTGAGCTTCAGCCAATCTTCGCCACTCTCAAATGGGAGTCATCATCAGGGAGTCACTCTTACTCACTCGCTCCCTCCTTTCATTCAAGACCTGCCTCAAAAAATACCTAACTAACCTTGCTTTCAGCCCCCATCCGCAGCTTGGGTGCCTAGGTAGCAGTGCTGAGTATTTTGAGATGGCCTTCCAAGGCGCTACATAAATTTCAATTGTAATGTAAGTTTTATTATACGTCTTCTGGTGCAGCACCAAGTGGCCATTCTTGAACAATAACAACAAGTTGCATTTATATAGTGCTGCTCACACAGGAGTGGGTCCAAGAGCGCTTGATAGTGGAGGAGCACGATACCAAGCTGGGGAAAGGTAACTGTAGGCACGGTCGAAGAGGAAGGTCTTCAGTGCGATCTGAAGATGGGGAAGGAAGGGGCAAAGTGAAGGGATAGAGGAAGAGTGTTCCAGATTTTTAGGGCGTAGTGACTGAAAGTGAGGTCACTGATGGTGGAATGGAGGGCATGCAGAAGGCCGGAGCCAGTCAAGCGGAAAGCATCAGATAATGGTTGGGGAGTAAACAGGTCAGAGAGGTAGGGAGGTGTTAGGGCATGAAGGGGTTTGAAATTGAGTGTGATAGTCCTGTAGCTCAGTGGTTAGAGCACTTGCCTTGCAAGAGAGACACATGGGTTCAATTCCAGGCAGGGCGAAACCTTGGGCAAGTTTCCTTACTCCACACGCCTAATAATAATCCCTCCAAAAAACAAAACAATAATAAATATCAAATACAAGGATTATTATTATTAATTATTATTATTATAGGGAGCCAGTGGAGCTTTGCTAGGACTGGTGTGATGGGCATATGAAGTTTAATATGGGTGAATATGCGAGTGGCGGAGTTTTGGATCAGCTTCATATATCTAGTTAATATTGACAGCTATTTAGCAATGATTAGTGTAAAAGCCGAAATCAATCCATCCTCCCCCAACATCCAAAAATGTACTATTTTCAGCCAGGAGCACTGGAAAACAATTAGGAGCTGATATTTTCACTCCCTAGTCCTGAGGCACTATACTAAACACATAGTATTTCAAGTGAGATTGACAGATTCAGGTCAGACCAGGAATTAACCCTGCGACCTTATAGGACATAAGCCATCAAGCACTCCAAGCAAAGTTTAACAGGTTAGCTTATTTCCTTATAATTTGATTAGACAGTATGGCATGGAGTTTGATGCGAGTGGAAAGTTTGAAACAGCTGGAAACACAAACCACAGCTCACCCACAACCTCACAAAAGCTCAAAATCAACTAGCATTTTTGTTGTTTTCTAATATCAAACATTCCCAAGGTCAAGCGATTCTGGATGACTTTTCAGGTGAGTCAATAGCTACTTCAACTCAATGGAATTTACAGCTCTTCCCTGTAGCAGACATGAACCATGCTGGTGAAGGGAGGTGCTAGGTATGAAATTAAAAAATTTCATCCGCAAACATGGGGTTAACTTCCACATGTATGCGGATGACACCCAACTCTACCTTTCCTCCTCTACTCTCAACTCCACGACCACCGATGTCCTGACAGCCTGCCTGTCCGACATCGAGTCCTGGACGAGAGACAACTTTCTTCAGCTCAACGTGCAAAAAACCGAGGCCCTCCTGATTGGCTCACGTCAGCGCCTCCGCACCTCAGGCGCTGACACCATCAGCATCCAAGGCTGCACTCTCCACCTCTCAAAGCCAGTCAGGAACCTCGGCGTTTTGTTCGACCCTGAGCTGTCCTTTCTCCCTCACATCCGCACCACAACTGGCACCGCCTTCCATCACCTCCGGAATATCGCCAGATTACGGCACTACCTCACCCCTCACGCTGCTGAAACCCTGGTTCACGCCTTTGTCACCTCAAGGCTGGACTATGGGAACTCTCTCCTCGCCGGCCTTCCCGCCACCTCCCTCCACAAGCTGCAGGTCATTCAGAACTCTGCAGCTCGTGTACTGTCCCGCACCAGGACCACATCACTCCCACCCTCGCTCGCCTCCACTGGCTCCCCATCCCCCAGAGGATTGATTTCAAGATCCTCATCCTCACCTACAAGGCCATTCACGGCCTTGCTCCCTCCTACCTCTCCAACCTACTATCCCCCTACCTACCTGCCCGTACCCTCCGTTCCTCTGGCTCCGGTCTGCTCCACGTCCCCCGCCCCAACCGCCCTACTATCGGTGGTCGGGCCTTCAGCCTCTCAGCCCCGAGGCTCTGGAACTCCATCCCCCAGTGCCTTCGCCGCCTCCTCCCTTTCCTCCTTCAAGGCCGGTCTCAAAACCTTTCTCTTTGACCGTGCCTTCAGCTCCCCTCTCGACTCTCTTCCTCCTCCTCGCTCCCTCCCTTCCCTCCCCTCACCCTGACCATTTCCCCTCCTCTCTCCCTCCCTTCCCTCCCCTCACCCTGACCATTTCCCCCCTGCTCGGGTCATGACCCAACTGTGCAGCGCCTTGGGACGTCCTCCTGACGTGAAAGGCGCTCTATAAATAGAATCTTGTTGTTGTTGTTGTTGTAAAAACATGAGGATTCTCACTTTATAAAAACATGGAAGGATTTTAAACTCTGCCTGACCTATATTTTGGTGCAGTTCTTTAAAATGGTGAGAGGCACAGATAATAACAATAATAATCAGAATAATAATCCTTGCATTTGATATAGCACTTTTTATGTTATTGAGACATTAACTGTAAATCTTGTGGGTGAAACACGGCAGCCAATTGTGCACAGCAGTGTTCCATAAACAGTTGTGGATTGAGTGACCAAATTATTATCAGGTGTGTGGAGTAAGGAAACTTGCCCAAGGTTTCACCCTGCTGGAAATCGAGCCCAGGTCTCTTGCTTGCGAGGCGAGTGCTCTAACCACTGAGCTACAGGATCTCCATTTACAGATCATGTAAACGTTTGCCTGACATTTGATGCAGACAGACTACAGAGGCAAATATCGGTTTAAAATTAAAAAAGCCTCATGTGAGATGAGAGCACTGAAGGCACTCCCGCCTAGACACAGTATTGAATATTTATATATAAGACTTAGAAAATGCAGCTAATGCTGTAACAATTAACTTCTTCAAGCACTCAGCGACACTACCCCGCTTGGAGGGCGCAAAATAAATGCAAGTTGTTGTTAAAACTGTTAAATATCTGCTCGAGATTTGAGGTTGCGTGAATAGGGATATACTGATGCAATCAAATATTCTATAGAATACAGTGGTTTCTGTGTTGCTGGGGTAATAATGTCTGTGGAAGGGAGCAAGTTAGAGTTGAATAGCAGAGATGTGAAAATGCTGAATATTCTGGAGTTTTGTTTGATTACCTTTGAATATCAAGAATAAATTTGTGATTTATGGGTTCAAATCCCGCATCGGGACATAGTCTGAGATTACACTCCAATGCAGTGCTGGGGATACCATCTTAGACTATGTGAGTTCAGGTGTCCCACAAACAGGAATGAAGTGAACAACCAGTTTTATTTGGGGGATTGCTGACTAGGACACCAGGAGAAACTCCCTTCTCTTTTTCAATAGTCATGGCATCTTTAACATCCGCCTGAACAGATGTGACTTTGGCTTAACATTTCATCCAAAGGATGACACCTCCAATAATCAGCTCCCTCTCAGCACTGCACTTGAGTGTCATTTTAGGCAATCTGAATTAAACATTCCAACGGCTGACTTAATCTACAAGATTGTGACTCAGAGGCGAGAGAGAGCTAGCAACCGAGCCAGGCTGACACAACTGATCTACCAACTGAGTCAAGCTGACACAACTCAGCCAGGCTAACACAATCTAAAAGAGAGAAAATTCCTTCTCCACCCCCCTGGTCTTTATACAACAACAACAAGATTACATTTGTATAGCGCCTTTCATGTCAGGAGGACGTCCCCTTAATGTAGAATTAAGTCTTGAGTGGAGTCTGATTTGTAGTATTTCTGAAGGAGATTCCTTAATCCCTGTTAGATTTTCCACTAGTCTGCACTGCTCTGGAAGCAGAGTGAGTATATAGGATATCCTGACGTGAAAGGCATTGTACTAAATGCAAGATTATTATTATATAAACCCTCTATTATTAAGAGTACAAGGATTATTATTATAATAATATATTATTATAATAAAGAATCATGCATGAAAGTGTAGTTTATACACTGAATATTTACCTATACCATTTGGGTGAATTGCTGGCGGATTAATGGCGATGCACAAACCTCTGCTATCTTTTTAAAAAGGCACACATTTTTAATAATAAAAATTTAAACTTTACGATCTCTTAAGCACAGGAGTAAGGATCTCCCATTTCAGGGATATCAAGATAGACAGACTGAGGCAAACCATATTGAAGACTCGTGCATCAAACACCAGTACTCTTCCATGAAGCAGTCTTCTTTCTCACAATGACAAAATGAGAAACGTTTTGTTACCCTGCTGGCTGACATTGCTCTACTATAATGCCACATGACATACCTTAGAAGATGATGGGCTTGAACAAGGTCTCTCCTTCTCTTTAACATCCACCTGAACAGGCAAACAGGTGTCTGGTTGGCAAACCTGCTTCTGCTGACTGCCTCGGGTACTGCCACTGTACTTGTGCTTTGAAGCGTGCGTGGGATCACATTGTGCGGATATTTGTGTGTATGGTTTCAAAGAAGAATCCGAAGTCAATTGTTCACGGGAGTAATGCACTGAATAATCTGCCGATGGATAGGATGTTTGGAAAGCATTTCTGCAGGAATCACTTTGTTTGCATAAATGCTGCCTAAAAAAGTATAATTATTTTTTTTTTAAAAATTCTTAATTGGGCAAGGGTAAAATAAACACAAGAAACACTTCATCATTCCTTAGTTAATACCTGTAACTAGCTTCATCCCTCCTTTAAATAACTAATCAGTCTTTTTCTTGTAGACGTTTTACAGGAATACTGACATTCTATTCATAATCCAACAAAATATAAAATGTGCATTTCTATATTATTCAAAAATGAAAAACTTGCTTAAAAGCCTGCTCTTTCAAATCTTGAAATTTTTTTTTAAAAATCCAATTTGCTCCCCTGCCCCCTTCACTCCAGCCGGGTAGAGGAATTGCATTTGTTTCTGTCCCACAACTGCAGAGCTGCCAATTAGGGATTCTTCATGCTTGACCTTAGATAGTAAGTGACTCACAACATTTCTACATTTTTGATTTTGGGTGGAAGGAGTATCACAGATGATCCTATTCTCACCAACATCCACACGGGTATATTTTCTAGCAAGGGCCATGGGATTATCAGTAGGAGGGAACCCGGGTTGATCCAGAAACAGCTGATGGTATCTAGTTGAGCCATCTGTTGCATCACAACTTCACTTATCCAAATACCTTTGAAACTAAAAGGGTGTCCATAACTCCAAGTGTTAGCATTATACAAATAAAAAACACAGAAATGGTAAAAAAAAATTCTATGAAGCAATATGACTTCAGACAAGAGTAAACTTCAAACTTAAAATTAAATTGCAGCATTATGTACAGCCTAAGTAATCCACAAATTTCTGTAAAAGGCTTGCTTGTGGGAGTGTTAACAGTCCACAGTAGATCTGTGTTATAAGCGAGGCAGTATTGTAAGCCCGCTATAATTATAGTGAGTTATTATAGCGGGCTTACACTCACTCCACTTTACAGTAAATCCTTTGGCGCTACAAAACATCTCATTGAAGTGATAAGGTGTTATACCAAACACAAGGATTAATAGAATTATTATTCATAATGCCCTGCGATAGAGCACTTCCTCGCTTATAGCACGTATCTACTATGGAACCATGCTTACCGTAACACTCCCACAAGTGAGCTCTTTACAGAATCGTAATAGTAACACAGCTGTGGATTACTTAGGTACACCGTAGGTGATTTTATTACAAAACTACTCTTAATCTCTTTCCTTCACATCTACAATAGGGTCAGAACTGCATTCTACTGATCATCATTCAGTAAAGCTATATACCATTCTGTATTATAGATTGTAGTGTGGGGTGTTATTCTTTTTGAATGTTTTTAGTCAGTTCATCTAAACCTAACCAATGAGTATAGTATTAGTAATACTAACTCAATTCACATTCAAGACTGTATTGTGACAGTGTGTTCTGTGAATCGCTTTGGGACGTCCTCCCGACGTGAAAAGCGCTATATAATAATAATAATCCTTGCATTTGATATAGCGCTTTTCACGTTGGGAGGATGTCCCAAAGCGCTTCACAGAATATACTGTAAAGTGAATTGACTGTATATTTGTGGGCGAACGCGGCAGCCAATTGCGCACAGCAATGTCCCACAAACAGTCGTAGATTGAAAATGATCAATTTATTATTGTTTTGGGTTTTTTGGAGGGATTATTATTAGGCGTGTGGAGAAAGGAAAGTTGCCCAAGGTTTCGCCCTGTCTGGAATTGAACTCAGGTCTCTCGCTAACTAACAAAATTAACTTAGTATAGACTCGATGGGCCAAATGGCATTCTTCTGAACTATACATTTCTATGATGCTGTAATCAAATAAAATGTGGAATAATGAATCATACTCACTTATGTATTACATGGGGTTCTTGAACAAATGGATAGCAAGTCATCAAGTAACCAGGCACTGTGACAGATGAGGAAGGTTCAGGCCACTGGACTCCCACTTCTGTCAACCTTTGTTTTGGCACGAATGGCTCAACTTCAGCCGATAATGTGGTCCCCTGTAAAAGATCAGGTTATATTATATACTTATTTTATTGACAAGAAGAAAGGACTGGAGAGTTGGCTTCTTCAAAAAGTTATCAAAAACAGAACAAATATTCAAGTCAGGTTTAATGTATAGATCGCCCACCTTTGACTCCTCTCCTGTCTAACTCGTCATTATCTCCCCAAATATCACTGACATCTGCAAATGCCAATCTGCCAATAACACATTTGGCTTGGCTTAATCATTAGCACTGGAACTTGCTCCCACAATCCCTCCACCTTGCCCCCTCCCTCCCCACTTTCAAATCCCGCCTAAAGACCTTCCTTTTTGATCATGCTTACGGTCACCTCCCCTCTCCCTCTCCCCTGGCTCAGTGTCAAGACTCCGCCACTGTCAAGTGCTCCGGGAGGCTACCCCACGTGAAGGGCACTATATAATGCAAGTTGTTGTTGTAGCACTTTCAGTAGCTACAATGTAGTTAACATCTCAAATCAGCGCTCCAGCCTGTCAGACCCAAATCCAGGGTCAAAATCCCCAAACTTCAACGATACCAGACATATTGTACAAAATGTAAAAAAATTTTGATTTAAGGAACATTACTGTAGATCAGTGGTAATAAATGTTTCGTGATTGAATATTTCTTGATTTATGGCACTGATGGCAAAACCTTTTCAGTTGGTCACTAAAATAAACGTTTCTTGAATTTTTCTCGTTTAATTGAATTTTTCCTGATTTATGGCTTAAATCTATGTTATTTTGTTATTTCTAAGATTATTTTGTTGGCCAACCAAAAAGGCTAGTTACCATGGCTATATGGATCAATATATTCACTTAATTGAGATCAGTAATTTCAATGAATCTCCAATAGAGAACATACTCAACTTACCTCACTCACTCTTTTCAAACTTTGTGGTAATCAATAGTAGGCCAAGCCTTGGCCTTCAAGTAAGTTTCTCAAAAAAAAAATGTTTTACAATTCTTGAAATCCTCCACTGTAGGTATGACACTTCCCTGATATAGCAATCAATAACGTAGAAATGTCAAGTGCTTCAAAGCCATTTATTGTAAAGTATTTACTTTGACCAATCGGGTATCTGACACATGTGGTAACCTATCACCATCTTTAGAGTATCCAAACCAGACAGAATTCCACATATGTATCCACCTATACATGGAAATTGATGTGTCTGGGATGTAATGCACACAATCTCCCTGGGGGCGGGTGCACTCTGCTTACCTAATTCCATACAGTTTTTGTCACAGGTTGACAAGAGTCGAGACTTGGGTGGCGACCCCAGAGTCTATGAGTTGGAGTATTGCTGGAGTCAAACAAACTAAAACTGCATGGATTGCATCTAGAGAAACGTCTGGCAACCTTCCTGCTGCTTGTCTGGCTGGCACCGTTAGAGCTTTGGGTCTGAGTGAAAATAATCTGTGCTCCCAGTGACCAGTTCGCCCCTCCAAATTCTGCTAATCAGCCAGACTGGCTGGTCTATCATCAGCAGTGCCACGGGATCCCGAGAACTGGATTACTAAGTCGCCATAGAGGATTGGCTCGACTCCGACATTCCATTGCCAAGCACATCATTTTGGAGCTAAACTCCAAGGAGACCTTAATGTTCTAGAAGTTCAAATCAAACACTGTGTACCAGCCCTACTCAGCATCGACTGCTTAATCCACGTCCTCATGTGAGGGGCTTTTCAAATAGATGCGTCTGCTGTTAGCTGACTCCTCCTCCTGGAAGCTTGGACGGTGTCCTCCTTGCAACCACTTCTCCAATTATTACAAATCTACCTCACTGCTGGGTCCTGGACTTCACATATGGGCTGAAGCAATCCCTCTGCTGCAGGAACTTGGAATCATGAGAACTGTTTTCACATTCGTCTTCTGAAGTTAGTTAACCTGCATTGGCACCTTGCTGTTCTTGAAGTGCTCATTGGCTCCTGATCAGCACGTCCTTAGGATCAATATAATAATTTTTGCATTATACTTGATATAGCGCCTTACCGTGTAGCTTAGTGATTAGAGCACTCATCTCGCAAACGAGAGGACCTGGGTTTGATTCCTGGGCAGGGCAAAATGTTGAGCAAGTTTCCTTACTCCACACGTCTCTGCTTACCTAGCTGTAAGTAGGAACCTGGTTGTCAGTTGATTGGTGGATCGCTTTTCTGGGGAAATTATTTTTTCTAAAAACAATATTATCTGGTCACTCAATTCATGACTGCTTGTGGGACTCTGCTGTGCGCAATTGGCTGTCGCGTTTCCCCCACAAAATACACAGTCAATTCACTTAACAGTATATTGTGTGAAGCCCTTTGAGATTTCTCGAAGACTTGATAACACGCTATATTAAATGCAAGGATTATTATATTATCATCAAGTCTTTGAGATGTCTCAAAGAATATACTGTAAAGTGAATTGTATGTATATTTTGTGGCAAAATATTTTGTGGGCAGTATTTAAGCAGAATATCACTACAACCCCTAGATATCTATAAGAATCAACAAGTGTCATGAATGGCCTATTATCTTCCAATTTATACTCTCAATGTTCCCTCTTGAACCATAATACTGCCATAATATTTGGGTTATTGAGTCTCCATTGAGTCTCACTGTTCCCGTTGTTCAAGATGAGCATGAGATCCCCAGATGAGTCCGCAAACAGCACTATATCATCTGCAAATACAAAGACTGGAATTCTGTCAGGAATGCCTGGAACAGAGTCCTTCTCGTTGCTATCAAATAAATCATCAAATGAGCTGGAGACAGGAATTTTGGCCAAGACATAGAGAGAAACTCCATTCTCTTTTCGCAGAGTACAATGGATTCTTTAACGTCCACTTGAACAGGTAGACAAGAGTTTAGTTTAACATCTCATGTAAAGGATGACAAATCTCCCTCAGATTACATTGGAGTGCTAGCCTTGACTTTGACCTAAAGTTCAAACGATGCCCATTAAAGTAGCACTAGTGGGATTTGTACCCACAATCTTCTGAGAGATTCCAGAAGCAAGACTACCACCAACTCTCCTCTTGGCTCACTTTGCATAAAGTGAAAGTATAACTTTGCAAAAAATAAATTAAGGAAATATATAATTTCACATTTAATTCAAGTGCAATTGATCATAAATTTAACATCTGATTTTAATTGCCCACAAATATACGGTCAATTCACTTTACAGTCTATTCTGTGAAGCGCTTTGAGATGTCGAGAAGACGTGAAAAGCGCTATATCAAATGCGAGGATTATTATTATTATTATTAAGTGAATAAAAATGCAATAAAAATGTTCCAAGTTTGAATAGCGTCTAGACCAGCGTTGTCAAACCATGGAGCCACAAGCTACCTGGGACTCATGAAGGGTCTCGGTGTGGCTCACAGCCACCTCAACTTCAGCAGAAAGTATGCATCTCAGATAATTCCTGCTGACAATTTGCATACAGAGATGTGTGCAGGCTATTTAAACATGTTATATATATGTGATACAAATTTCTCTAGTTAGGCTTTCAATTATTCAGTTGAAATACTCTTCTAAAATAATACTCGTCTGAAAACCCTTTCCTGTGTTCACTCAGCATATCTGTGAATCAACATTTTCTGCAATCACTTTCATCAAAGGAAAATACAGATTTCTCCTGAAAAACAAATGTTTGGCGGTAGAACTACGCATTGTGGTTGTGCAATTGTTTTCATCGAATTTTCAGAAATTGGTTAAGAAAACCAACGGTCATATCTCACATTAATGTGCTGTTTTGTTTTTATACTGCTAATATTTGTTTATGTTTTGTTGCTGTCTATGTGGTATTCTTGATGTTGCCTTTGCTGGAAAAGAGTACAACATGCTTATAAATAAATCTTTGGGAGGAAATTCTGTGACTTGTTTAATTTTTCAACTGGTGTGGCTCACACTGATGTTCATGACCTACTCATGGGACCGTACTGTAAGCTGCCGAAGCTGCAAAATGGAAAGCATCAAGCTGAAGGCCATCAAAGTGAATGACCTCAGGACATGCATACACAAACTTGCAAGGAAAAAGGCGATGTCAAACACCAACTTGCCATAACAAAAGGCAAAGTATTAACTGGATCAAACACAGTAAACTGACTGAAACTGGACTCAGATCATTCGAGTCCAGGGCAGAAAAAAACAAGCACTTATATGGTCAATGAAAGACTCACAAATAATTAGCGGAGGATGGGGAAAAGGGGTTACAAAAGCTTGAGTGAGCAGCAGCAGGGGAGAGATTGTGCCTGTGGCAGAGGAGTGACCTGTCTAAGCTAAGAACTACAAGCAACATCGATGAGTAGTTACTCCAGGTCTCCCAGGGTAAGAATCTTGATTGAAGTGAACCCTGAATCATCTTCTGCAGTTTTATGTGTTTTATAACTGTTGTAACCGTCATTTTGGTCAGCAATAAATAATATCTATTTTACCGTATTTTGTCACTGTTCAAATATCTTACCTCAGGGTGAAGAATTGGAACGAGTTGAGGACTAAATACCTTTGCCACAAAACCCTACAGTACAAATCTGGTTGGACAGTTATACTACTACATGTTTTTAATGACCACTAGTGCTTCATTAATGGGCATTGTTTGACAGAAGACAAATGGTCCAACTGTAGGTCATTTTTTGTCACAATAACATGATTGATGACACCTCATCACATCATTTTTTTTGAAAAGCTTTTAAAAAAAATTAATTCACATCTGTAAGTCAATATTACAGTTTCTGTGTTGAACATTGGTCAGGGTCGGCAATGAGATAACCAGGCAAAGTAAGTGATATCAAAGTTGAGACAAACAGAAGACGGCTTTAATTTTCACAAAACAAACAGAAGTTAAATGGATTAGAGTAACAAAGTTCATTTTCAGGACAAACAATTTAGACCGTGATTATATTCGATTTAGAAGCAAAGCAGGTCAGTTTAGTTCCATCCCAGGTCCACGCCCGCCTACCCCTCCAGCATATTACGCAAAATTGTGGAGTCCTGTAGCTCAGTAGTTAGAGCACTCGCTTTGCAAGTGAGAGACCTGAGTTCAATTCCAGGCAGCGCGAAACCTTGGGCAAGTTTCCTTACTCCACACAGAGCCTAATAATAATCCCTCCAAAACCCAAAACAATAATAAATTGGTCATTTTCAATCTACGACTGTTTGTGGGACATTGCTGTGCGCAATTGGCTGCTGCGTTCGCCCACAAATATACAGCCAATTCACTTTACAGTGTGTTCTGTGAAGCGCTTTGGGACGTCCTCCCGACGTGAAAAGCGCTATATCAAATGCAAGGATTATTATTATAAGCAACCAACCAAATATTGCACTTCTGAGAAAACCTGCTCCAGTGGATTCCAGGATTATTGGAAATTGCTTGAAACCACGATAATAAAAGAGCTTATTGAGCTCTTTTATTATCCTGGTCATTTACTTTTTAACTTGCCACCACAACTCAATGAACAATCTCCACAAAACAATCTATGTTATCTATCAGCACATTTGTTCCATCTTACAATAAAAGGTTAACTGATAAGTACAAATTATATTAGATTTTAAAGTAAATGTAACATAGATAGACTGATGGGAGCACAAATCGCAGTGAAACGCACAAACACAGAAATGACTGCCACGGTTGTATTTGTAAGACGGTCAATATACAGTATTTTGGAAATATGGCAAAGCCTAAGAAGAATAAAACAACCAAGGACAATACACAGATATGAACACAAAGTCACTTGTTCAATGGTTGTTTGTGGGATTATTGCTGTGCGTAACTGTGATCTTGCGTTTGCCTAATAACATTTCACAGTAAAACATGTGAAGTGCTTTCGAGACGTCCTTCTGACATGATAAGGTGCTGTACCAAATGCAAGATTATTATTATTAACATCTCATCAGAGTTTAAAATCAACCTTTGGGTTTATGTATATATCTCGCTGTGCACAAACTGGAGGTCGGGTTTTCCCACAAAATAAGATGAGTCAATTCATTTTACGGTAATATCCTGTGAAGCACTTTGAGATGCATCGACGACGAGATAAGGCGCTATATCAAATGCATAGATTATTATTCTGGTGTAAAGAAAGTAAAGAATAAACAAAACTGAGGGGAAAATAAGAGCCAAGTCAGTGGTGGCTCAGGAAGCAAACAACATAACATATTCAGTCACCACCCACCCACAAAGTTACTCCGTCTCAGGCCCTCAGCTCCCTGTGTGTGTGTGTGTGTGTGTGTCTGTGGGTGTGTCTGTCTGTCTGTGTCTGTCTATGTATGTCTGTCTCTGTGTGTATGTGTGTCTGTGTGTGTCTGTCTATGTCTGTCTGTGTGTATCTGTGTGTGTACGTGTGTCTGTCTGTGTGTGTACGTGTGTTTGTGTGTGTCTGTCTGTGTACGTGTGTATGTCTGTGTGTATGTCTGTGTACGTGTGTGTCTGTCTGTGTGTGTGTGTCTGTGTGTGTGTCTATCTGTGTGTGTCTGTGTGTGTGTCTGTCTGTATGTGTGTGTCTGTCTGTCTGTCTATGTGTGTTTGTGTCTGTGTCTGTCTGTCTGTGTCTGTCTGTGTGTGTCTGTCTGTGTGTGTCTGTGTGTGTCTGTGTGTGTGTCTCTGTCTGTTTGTGTCTGTGTGTGTGTGTCTGTGTGTGTGTCTGTCTGTGTGTGTGTCTGTCTGTGTGTGTGTCTGTCTGTGTGTGTCTGTCTGTGTGTGTGTGTGTGTGTGTGTGTGTGTCTGTCTGTGTGTGTCTGTGTGTGTGTCTGTGTGTGTATGTGTGTGTGTATGTGTGTGTGTCTGTGTGTCTGTGTGTGTGTCTGTCTGAGTGTGTGTGTATGTGTGTGTGTCTGTGTGTGTGTATGTCTGTGTGTGTCTGTGTGTGTGTGTGTGTCTGTGTCTGTGTGTGTCTGTGTCTGTGTGTGTGTGTCTGTCACACACCAACAACAATCACAATAATGTTGGTATTTGCTGTGACCGGTTGTCAAGCGCTTGAGGCTAAAAACTCCAGATCGACCTCAATCCTCGGGACCTGGGATCAGGCCCTGCAGTGTGGGAGCAGCGGGCAGTCAGTTACGGTGTACCCCGCCCTGTGCTCTCGTCTCCGGGTAAAAACCTCCTTATATATCTTTTAAATATATCTATATATTTTAAACCGCGACTGACAAACACTGGAGGCCACAGCGGCTGCCGGGCCCCCGCCCCCTGAGCGGGCCCCCGGCCCCCGAGCGGGCCCCCGGCCCCCGCCGGGCCCCCGGTCCCCCTGAGCGGGCCTCCGGCCCCCCGCCGGGCCCCCGGGCCCCCTGAGCGGGCCCCCGGCCCCCTGAGCGGGCCCCCGGCCCCCCGAGCGGGCCCCCGGCCCCCCGCCGGGCCCCCGGTCCCCCTGAGCGGGCCTCCGGCCCCCGCCGGGCCCCCGGGCCCCCTGAGCGGGCCCCCGGCCCCCTGAGCGGGCCCCCGGCCCCCCGAGCGGGCCCCCGGCCCCCGCCGGGCCCCCGGTCCCCCTGAGCGGGCCTCCGGCCCCCTGAGCGGGCCCCCCGGGCCCCCTGGCCCCCCGCCGGGCCTCCGGCCCCCCGAGCGGGCGAGTGTTTTACCTTTGGTTGGCCAGTGCTTCTCCTCTCGGACATGGCGAGTGGCGGCGAGAGGTTGCCTTGAAGCGGCCTCGGACACACCATCTGCGCGTGTCACAACAACATGACCCGCTCCAGCAGCTGCCGCTCCTGCTGCCGGGCCCGGGCCCGGGGTCACACCCACACCCGCCGCTCCCCCCTCCCCGACAAGCCGAGCCGAGCGCTTGGCCACAACCCACACCGCACGTTTCGTAGCCCAAAGTGCACCAAACAGCAGCCCAAAAAGTAGCCCAATATGACGTGTCGCCTCCCTCGCGGTGGGGGGGGGGGGGGGGGTAAGCAGCGGAGTGGACGGTTTAACTCGGGGCTTTTTTTTTTCGGACACGATGTAAGGAAAGGTCTTCTCAAAGGAAAGGGACCACAGCACGTGTGGTGGGTTTAAGTTTAAATAGATTATTTTTTTTTAAAAAAATTGGCACCCGCCCAAAGCCGTTTTTCACGCCTAAACCCCGCCCAAATTGGGCGTGAACTCGCCCAATCTGACTGCATTGGTTGATGTCGGTCTGTTGCCTCCACCCACACACACTCCAGGCGGCCCCGCGGATCAGACAGAGAAAGTACACGTCGTTTTATTGCCTTTATTTTGCCAAAAGTACCAATTTTTATTTTTTAATTTCCTTTAAATCATTTTTATCTTTCAAACGATTAAATTATTTTGTCTTTATTTGATTAAAATCCGTTTTTTTTTCATTTATTATGCCCGATGTTACGGTTTCCTTTTGCATTTTGTCTACCTTTCTTCTCCTTATATTTTTCTGTGCCACTTTTGGCAACATTTGGAAAACACATTTATTTCTCGCACTAAAGCAAACGATATAACACTATTGAGTATCAGTTTGGCTCCGAGTTAGAAGATTATAATAATAATAATCCTTGCATTTGATATAGTGCCTTGTCACGTCTTCGAGATGTCTCAAAGCGCTTCACAGAATATACTATGAAGTGAATTGACCGTATATTTTGTGGGTGAAACGCGGCGACCAATTGTGCAAAGCAGTGCCCCACAAACAGTTGTGGATTTAGTGATCAAATTTTTTTTAAGGGATCATTGCCCCCGAAAAAACGATCTGCCAATCAACTAACAACCGGGTTCCTAGAGGTAAGCAGTGGCGTGAGGAGTAAGGAAACTTGCTCAAGGTTGTGGGTTCATGCCCCACGTCAGAACTTGAGCTAAACAGTTCTATAGGCTGCCAGTTCAGTGCAATATTGGGGGGTTGAGGTGAGGTCCTTTGGAAGAGACGTTAAACTGCCTGTTAAGATGAATATTAAAGATCCCATGGAACTTTGAAAATATATTGTTTTGGAAATCTTTGCATACGTCAGGTTGTCTCAGAACTTCACAAAATAATAATTACAATAATTCTAGCATTTGATATAACGCCTTATCGGGTCTTCGAGATGTCTCAAAGCACTTCACAGAATATACTGTAAAGTGAATTGACTATATAATTTGGGAGCGAAAAGCGGCAGTCAATTGAGCGAGATGGGGGACGTGAAGCAAGCCAGAGTAGTTGAGCAGAGGGAGCGGGCAGGATGGTGGGGGGTTAGGAGGTTGCAGAGGTAGGGGGGAGCAAGACCATGGAGGGCTTTGAAGGTGAGGACCAGGATCTTGAACTGTATCCTCCGTGGGATGGGAACCCAGTGGAGTCGAGCGAAGATGGGGGTGACAGAGTCACAGAGTAGATACTGTGCGGGAGAGGACTCGGGCTGCAGAGTTCTGGATGATCTGCAGCCATGGAGGGAGGAGTATGGGAGGCCAACAAGCAGGGAGTTTGCACAGTCAAGCCTCGATGTAATGAAAACATGTATTGGCGGAGGGGCCTTCTGCCACTCTGCACCCACTCTCTAGAACTCCATCCCGCAGTCCCTCTCTCTCGCCCCCCTCCCTCTCCACCTTCAAGACCCACCTCCAGACCCTCCTCTTCGACCGTGCTTTCGATCTCCCTGCTTCCTCCCCTGCCCTCCACCCTCCCCAACCCGGGTCCGTAACTCTGTCCGGGGCCTTGAGACGTCCTCCCAACGTGAAAGGTGCTATACAAATGTAATTTTGTTGTTGTTGTTATATAAGGGTTTCAGGTGCCTGTGGTGTGAGACAGTGTCGGAGCAGGCCACGTTTGGAGGTGGGGAAAGGCAGAGCGGGTCACGGCACAGATGTGGAGTAGAAAGGATAGTCGAGGGTCAAGCAAGACCCCAAGGTTCTGGACTGGCTCAGTGAGGTGGAGTGTGCAACCATGGATGGTGATGCTGTCAGCACCTGAGGTGTGGAGGCGCTGATGGGAGCCAATCAGGGGAGCCTCGGTCTTGTTGATGTTCAACTGGCCGGTGGGTTAAAAAACCCACCCTCGATCTTTCCAACCTCACAAACTTTAAACCAATCTCAAACCTGCCCTTCCTGGCCAAAGTTTTGGAACGCATGGTTGCCAATCAACTTTGCATAAACCTGTCCTTCCACTCCTTACTCGAATCCCTCCAGTCTGGTTTTCGCTCTGCCCACAGGACAAACAGCGCTCGTCAAAATAGCAAATAATGTCCTCTCTCTGTGTGACCAGGGCTCCCTCTGCCTGCTCACTCTCCTCGACCTCTCCGACGGGTTTGACAGTCGATCACGTCATCCTCCTCCGACTCTCCTCCCTCAATCATTTATTGGGACCATGGTTCGAGTCCTACTTCATGCCTCCCTACATTTCCAGCTTGCTCACACCCCACTCCACCACCCGATGCCTCTGCTTGGCCGGCTCCTGCCTCCTGTTCATCACCTACCCCCTCCGCTCCACCATCAGCGGCCCTGCTTTCAGTCACTACACCACAAAGCTCTGGAACTCTCTGCCCCAATGCCTCCACCTTGCCCCTTCCCTCCCCACTTTCAAATTCCACCTAAAGACCTTCCTGTAGCTTCCTGTAGTTCGTGGAGTCCTGTAGTTCAGTGGTTAGAGCACTCGCTTTGCAAGCAAGAGACCCGAGTTCAATTCCAGGCAGAGGGCGAAACCTTGGGCAAGTTTCCTTACTCCACACAGAGCCTAATAATAATCCCTCCAAAACCAAAAACAATAATAAAAAAAAATTGGTCATTTTCAATCTACGACTGTTTGTGGGACATTGCTGTGCGCAATTGGCCGCCGCGTTCGCCCACAAATATACAGTCAATTCACTTTAGTGTGTTCTGTGAAGCGCTTTGGGACGTCCCCCCGACGTGAAAAGCGCTATATCAAATGCAAGGATTATTATTATTATTTTTGATCGTGCTTACGCTTACCTCCCCCTCCCACTGGCTCAGGGTCAGACTCCGTAATCTTCAAGGCTGAGACTGATAGATTTTTAAAAAATAGAGGGATTAGGGGATATAGGGATAGGGCAGGTAATTAGAGTTAGGTCTGAAGATCAGCCATGATCTTATCAAATGGCGGGGCAGGTTGAAGGGGCCAAATGGCCTACTCCTGCTCCTAATTCTTATGTTCTCTCCGGGACGCTACTCGGTATGAAGGGCGCTATGTAAATGCAAATTATTGTAGGCAAAAAGATAAGTTTCTAGTACCTGCCATCCACTGTGAAGACTCAAACCTATGCTTGCCTGATTCATATTACCACTTCTGACTCCCTTACTTGTGGGCTAAGTTAAGTCTCCTTGGAGCTGAACTGGCTTTCCAAAGTGACATGAGTGGCAACAGAATGTCAGAATCAAATCAAGCTTTGTGGCAGTCCTACTTTTCCGATTCCAGACAGGTCAGCAGCATTCAAAGAGAACCTAGGTCTAAGATATACAGTAAAGTGGAGTAATTGGGTATTTTGCAAGCAAATTTTGTGGCAAATGTGGCCATCAATTTATGCACGATAATGTCCCATAAACAGCCATAGTGAATGACCAATTTTATTTGAGGGATTGTTGTCCAGGACAGAATTTCTTTTCGAAGAGCCCTGAGATCTTTAATCCCACCTCAACAGGTAGATGGGACCTCAGTTTAACATCTCATCCAAAGTATGGCACATCCAACAATGCAGTATATCTCCAGCACTACATTGGAGTATCAGCATAGACTACATGAGTTCCAAGTTCTCACACAGGGCTTGAAACCACAATCTTCTAACCAGGGAGGTCCAAACTTTGTCTACCACTGGCCGGATTCCCAATTAGAAAAAGGTCTGCGGGCCTCATAAACATTTACACAGCACCATTTTTATGTTGAAAATATATCGCAAAGCACTAGATACTGTCAGCTGGGCACCTGAGCTGGGGTTGGGAGCTGAGGGCGGTGAGATGGGGACGGGAAAAGATGACCAAAAGCGTGGTCAGTTAGGTCTTGACTCAATAATTCTCTTCTCCCCCCCTCCCCACTTTCTTGCCTTTTCTATCTCCATATCAGGTGCACAGTTCACTATCTGCAGCCACAGGAGCCAGAAGTTGCTTTGGACGCAGTGGATAAGGAGACGTGCTTTCCTGAAAAACATGCTTTGAAATATTGATCCTTGCATTTGACATAGTTCTTCACAACTTCTCAACATCTCAAAAGCTCTTTACAGAATATCAATAAAAATAAGTCACTCATATTTGCGGATGAAACACGGAAGCCAATTGCGCACACCTGTGTCCCACCAACAGTCATGGATTGAGTGACTTATTTTTATTGAGCAAAACTTTTTGTGCGGGGATTATTATCCCCAGAGAAGTGATCTGCCAATCAACTAACAACCAGGTTCCTACTTACCGCTGGGTAAACAGAGGTGTGTGGAGTAAGCAAACCTGCCTAACCTTTCACCCTGCCCGGAATCAAACCCAGGTCTCTCGCTTGTGATGTGAGTACTCTAATCACTGAGCTACAGGACTCCATTGTTAGGATTTGGCTGTTTATAGTTACGATTTGGCTGCCATAGTATGCTCTACTTACTGTATGTCCCTGTAGCATAACTAGAGCAAAAAAAGGAAAACAATTCCCGCTGAGAATTTTGCTCTGATACAATAGGTTTCAAATAGTGTATGTAGACCAGAGGAAAGACCTAACCAAAACCCAATTCAGTCCATTTATTTCTGGGCTATCAACTGTTGTCGTTTTTACCTCCTTTTCATCCACTAAAACAATTAAAACTCCACCTCCAATAGATTTTAAAATGGGTTATAAATATTTCCACTCGCTTTGCAATAAACACTATTTTGCATTCTTTATAGTTTATTTCAATTAATTCAAAGCACATGTATGGAATCTTAAACGATCATTATAAAAAAACATGTAGAAATCGGGCAATTACGACAGGGATGGGAGAAAGAAAACATGCAACATTTAGTCCAAACCAGTTTTAACAAGTGAATACTGCACAAAAGCAGTACAAAAAGCTAGACGCTGTACACATATTCTACCAATAATTTCCCTCAGGAATAATTAGAGGCATAAACCAACACAATCTTTTAAAAAAAAATCACACATAAGAGGTGCATTTAACTTTATTCACAACAGAAACCAGCGAAAGAGAAGACAAGAGAAAAATCCACATAAAAATAAACAGAAGCCATGGTCATTTCCTAGTGGAAGAAAACATCATTATGACTGCTAGTACAATTTCTTTTTTTAATAAATAGTCTAAACCCACTGTATCACAATGAGCTCTATTGCTGTTTAGAATACAGCTCATACACAGCTTTGAATGATTTTGTACAATTTTATGTATTCACTGAATACTAGAATATTTACAAAGTCCCAGAAGATTCCAGAAGAGTAAGTGAGATTTATTTGTCTTGGTCTTTTGGAAGAGGTCTTCGGAAAAGCAGAATATGCGGCTCTAAAAATAAAAACAAAAATGTCAATATAAATGTCATATAGCTCTGCAACTATTTAGTATACATTTTAACTAAAAGGGTTGCTGAACGTAGAACAAAAGAACTCTTAAAGTAATGACTGGCTATGAGCACACTTTGTACAGTCCTTCCACGATTCATTTTTAAAGAATAGGAAATATCTTGATTTCAATGATTATTTTTTCCATTCCTAAAGACTCATCAATTCAGGTCTTCCAAGTAATTTCTGTTCCAAAGCTCAAACTGGCACCAATCTTTAGCAGGGATGCTAATACGATGGATGTTGCAAACATTGTATACTGAATGGAACATGGATATTTGATTTCCCCTCCCCCACAAATGATAGAAATTAGACCTTATCCAATGCCCCAAATCTTTCTACAAACTTCAATTTTGGAGATAGCAGTATTAAGAAACAGCTGAACAACTAAAAGCATTAATTTACATAATTACAAAATTTGGCTACAGAAATAGTGGAAGAAACTTAACAGTTGCTAGGTATTTTGACGGCATGCGTTGCTTCGTCTAATGGCTCTTATCGTTTTTGGTCACTATACCTGGTTCGTGCATCATATAATGGACCCATCCCAGAGACTGTTGAACACCCAGTTTTCGCCACTCATCTTCAGACATAAGATGAGTCTTTGGTACTTGCTTTGCAAGTTCTTTGGGTAACATAACATGCCTGTTAAAGAAACAAAATTAAAACAAAATCAACATCTGTAAGAGTCCAAACTGAGCCCAAACATTCCTTATATTTGAAAATATGACAATGAAATAATAATTCTTTCCATTTAACATACCGCCTCACATCGCAGGAATTTACTGAAGTGCAGCGACTCTATTTTTTAGGCCAACACAGCAGCCAGCTTTGTGTACAGTAATGTTCTACAAACAGCCATGACGTGGATAACCAATTTTATTTGGGGATTGTTGGCCAGCAAACCAGGAGGAACTCCCTTTTCTTTTCGATGGTGCCATCCACCTGACCATCAATTTTAATATCTCATCAGAAGGGTGGCACCTTTGATAATGCACCACATCCCCAGCACTGCAAGAGTGTCAAGACTAGACTAAATGATACTTATCTTCATAGGTAAAACCAAAGGAATAAACAATCTTCCTTTAATCATTCTCAATATGTGTGAAATATATGAAAGCCTCCAGAGAAGGATGCAGATGATTCAGAATATAATGCTAGATGAACATACAAATATTATCCTCAGGTCATTGCCTGGCGAATGTTATTAAAGCTTTTTTTCATAGCTGCATATGAAACAGCTGTAAAATGTGTAGAACAAACTAACTGGTGTAGGAGGATTCTACCCAGAAGGTAATAATAATTTGCATTCCAGAATTTAGTCAAGATTGCCTTTGACACTCCCCATAACAAGAGGTTTATAAATTGGGATTGTAAAACCTTTAAGCGAAAGGTTTCTGGAATTCTGAAAGATCTGCAACCTTGTACTCCAATAAAAGTATGTTGTAATCCAGGTCTACAATTTTGCTGATAGTAAATTGAAAATATTCTCAAACCTGTAACCACAGAACGCAGCGCTTGTAGTATAAACTATACTTTTTTTCCCCCCAAAAGAAGCCCCATTTCGACTTGAAACTAGCTTGAGACCTTAGTCATCCTACACATCTAACAAATGATGGTGGGAAGAAAGACAAGAGAATGAGCGTGAAAAACACCCTGCCTAACTGACGTAATTCACCAAATATATGCAGTCCTAGCAGGGCTGCAATCAGTTCCAAATGGCTGGTGTGTCAACAATCCTTGGGATTCATTGCTTTTGAAAATTCTTGCATTTATCACATTGCTGAGTCATCTCAAAAAAGTTTGGATAATTGCGAAGGGGCCACTATCTGAGGAACATTCAACTGCAGGACATCAGTGTGCGTATTGGACAATGGGGCATTAAGGTATTTTCCCAAGTATGTGCAGAAACATATCCCAAGATCATGCCTTACTGAAGCTCCAAATGCAATTTTTCATATTTGACACAAGAGTCCTGGTCTGCTCCCCACAAGAGACTTCTATGCAGCCTGCTGTTCAGTAAGAGTATACATGAGAACATGCTAAGATGTGCTATTTAGTATGGATAACATACAAGCACGTCATAAAGCCAAAGAAAGCAGGCTGAATGGTGCACTCTGAATTGATAAGCTATGTGCAACCATGAAATTAAACCCAATACTTTTTGTGGGCTAGACAAATTACATTATGAAAACAGGTACCAGCTGAGCTTGTGTTAGCATTTTGCTGAGAAATCAGTTCCAGCTGATCGAGAAATCTGTAATGTGGATTTATTTTTAAAACAAAAACTTAAAATAAGGGAAGCAGCACAAATGCAATGTAGATCCTCAAATGAGTTGCCAAATGCAGAGCAGCGCCACACAAAACAGTTTGGGTGGCATATACATATGACATGAAGAATAAAATTAAATTATTCCTTCATTTAAATGTGCTATGTATATATCCCTTTGGCAACATCATCCTCCATAGGCATAGGGTCTACTTTCAAATGTATGCAGATGACATCCATCCTCTACTCTTGATTCCAGGACCATTCTGACCATTTGGCTCCCAAATGTCAATAATCCTTGCATTTTGATATCAACTCCTGGATGAGTTCTAACTCTTTACAGGTCAATGTTGACAAGATTGAGGCCCTTTGATAAGCTCCAGCTCAGGGAGCTTGTGTGGAACCTCTTAAATGTCTTGTTTTAACTCGAACTGTTCTTCAAACTGTACACTAACCACTGAAACATCACCCATTTCTGCTACGCCCCCCACAATCCTGACCTCTAGGCTCAATTTATTCGCCAACTATTTCTTCAACCTCCATTTCCTTCCCAAGGTCCTGGAACTAGTTGTCACTTCCTAGCTCCGTTCCTTCCTATCCTGCCACTTTCTCAACAAACCCCTCCAATCGGGTTTCCATGCCGCCAAAACACATACAGCCTTGGTCAAAGTGACTAATGACATTTTGACCACCTGTGACCAGGGCTCCCTGTCTCCTTTGACACAGTCAACCATTCTATACACCTCTGCTACCTCTCCTCTCAACTTTCATGGTCCTGTCCTTGACTGGTTCACATCCTACCTTTTATACTGCCTGCACAAACATCTTCTCCCCCAACCCGCGCACTGTCTTGTGTGGTTTTCCTCGGGTGTCTGCCCTTGGTCCTTTCCAACATCTACATGCTCCCTCTTGGTGACATAGACATGGGGTCAACTTCCACATGTATACGGATGACACCCAACTCTATTTCTCTGTCTCCACCCTCCAATCCAGGACCACAGCTGTCCTGACAGAATGTCAGTCAGACATGAAGTCCTGGACGAGAGCTAACTTTCTCCAGGTGAACGTCAACAAGACCGAGGCCCTCCTGATTGGTTCCCATCAGCACCTTCACACTTCCGACGCTGGCAGCATCACCATCCAAGGATGAACACTCTACATCACTGAGCCAGTCCAGAACTTGGCGTCTTATTTCACCCTCAACTGTCCTTACATCCATATAGCTCGTTTCACAGCAGCAGGCTTCTCAAAGACCTTATCAATGCTGGATGGGTACCCACACTGATGGGGGGAGCAGTTTGAAGATTCTAGTCTTTAAGAATTCAACACCCAAATGTCCTGGTAGCCCAGTCTAACCCAACAGTCTCCCAATATAGGAAACACAAGGCGACGTCACATCACCCATTGCTCCACCTTTCCAGAATTCCTCCACCTTATCCCCTTCATAATATGCTGTCAGGCACGTATCCCCCCGACACAGCCCCTCAGATCAGGCTCCCAGTCAGTTTGAAGCATTTTGAGACATGGTCCCGAGGTGAATATCGCTTTGCAAATCTCAATTGGCAGCGTGTGATTTTATTGAATAAACTAATCCAAATTATAAAACATCAGTGCTGTCATGTAAATAACAGCATTTATCAAAACGATAAATTATTGAGACGATCAGTCACCAAAAGCACAAGGGAACAAAGCACAAATCCAAAGTATACAGTCAAATATAAAGTCAATTCATTTTACAGTATAAACAAAACCCAAAATATTGCCGATGCCGAAAACCTGAAACAAAAACAGAAGTTGTTGGGAACATACAGCAGGTCAGGCAGCATCTATGGAGAAAGGAAAGCGAGTCTACGCTTCGGGACTACGACCCTTGGTCAGACCTCATCTTTTCGGGTCCATGACCCTTCTGACCCAGGGTCGTGGACCCAAAACGTTGACTCACTTTCCTTTCTCCATAGATGCTGCCTGACCTGTTTGAGTGTTCCCAGCCACTTCTATTTTTGTTTCACTTTACAGCATATTCTGTGAGGCGCTTTGAGACGTCCAGAAGACGTGAAAAGCACTCTAACAAACGCAAGGATCACCATTATTGAAGTCCAGCGGGACCGCACTGTATGGTGGTTCAATATGAACTAATAATCTAAAATGGACTTGACTTTATGGTCCCACAGAAGCCCTGAAACGTTCTTCAGCATTTGCCAGTCGAAAACTGGTAGAAAGCAATCAACAATCTCTCGCTCTCTGGCTGTTTCCTCTCCTCACCCCCGGCCCCACTCTCTTCTCGTCCCCTCGCTCCCGCCTCGCTCTCTCCCTGTGCTTAACTCTGGCGATGGGGGCTCTTTCTCTCGCGGCCGTTACTGCTTTGAGCTGAGTTGAATCAACACGAAGTTGCAATGATTAAATAAAAGAAAACGGAAGGGGGAAGAATACACCGAACTTGTGCATGTTACAGCCGTTAGGAGGCCGGCAAAACACGCTGCAACAAGCCTCGTGTGGAGGAGGATGATGGCGGTGCCGGAGACCTCGCCCCCAAGCCGCCCGGGGAGGAAGGGGTGAGGGGGGAGGGAGGGAGGAAGGGGGAGGGAGGGGGGGAGGGAGGAGGCGGCGGCTCCTTTTCACAACAGTTTTGCGGTCGGTAACGACTGCCGTTGCGAAATTTCACGGCGCCCACCAAGCAAAAAAAAAGTTCATGACACCAACCAAACCGAATCGCTCATACCTCACAAACTCGCTCTTCACTATTTATTGACAAACATTTCACACACATGTATATTGTGGAACAACATACTTTATCCTCCCCCCCCCTCCCCGCCCCCCAATACACACAGACAGATCGCTCTGACGTGCGCGGTTAAAGCTGGATTTAAAACCATATAAAGCACAATTTAAAACCATATCATCTTAAATGACCGTTTCCCCTACTTCCGCTCCTTTTTTAAGGCAAGCGAACTCTTACCTATACTCGTACTCATCGTCGAAGTACTTGTCCGAGTAGTAGATCTGTTTGTGAGACATGTCCGCCCGCCCTCCCGTTCTTCTCCCCGTGTGAAGGCGCCGACTGAGAGCCACACGGCACTAACTGCGTGCGCTGCAAACCGAGAATCCTCGGGCAGATCAAACCCCAACCGCCTTCTGGGAGGAGGTGGGGGGAGGGGTGGGGGGAGCGGAGAGACACCCACGCGCGCCTGTTTGAATCGCACCGCGCGCTCTCTGATTGGACCGTTCGGAGAAGGGCTCGGCTCACGCGCGTCCAGTTTGAAATCGCCTCCACTATCGCGCATGCGCACTCTCCTTTGGCGACAACGTGGGTCCCCTTTCGCTTCCCTTCCCCGCCGTGCGCGCGCGCGCGCTCTTTCTCTCTCTCTCTCTCTGCCATTGGCCACGTGAAGAGGGCTTCTCCGCGAGATAGTTTGAATCGCTCTCCGCGCGCTCTGATTGAAGCACGCCCTCCCGACCGTTAGATGTAGCTCCTCCCCTCAGAGCGAGAGAGACCAATGATGCAGGATTGAGCGAGTTTGTGTGGCCCTGTGCTTTGGGCGGGTTTGTGGTTGGTGCGGCCCTGAGGTTTGGGCGGGTTTGTGCGGCCCTGTGGTTGGTGCGGCCCTGAGGTTTGGGTGGGTTTGTGCGGCCCTGTGGCTAATTTTTTTTCAAAAAAATGAAACCTACAAAACCATTTTTTTTCCGCTCCATCTTCCCCCCTTGAAGATTTTTTTTTACACAAACACACACACCGTTTCAGAAGCACGAACCTGAATCGTCCACTCTGCTGTAACCACAGGGAGGCGAGGCACAGTATCAGGCTACTTTTGGGCTGGTGTTTGGTGGACTTTGGGCTACAAACGTGTTTTTAACTTCTGGCAAAACCCTCCCCGAGACAACAACAGCAACAAGATTTCATTTATATGACCATTGCATCCCCCCCGAGCAGGGGGAATGCAATGGTCAAGGCAGGATCCAATATTAGCTTTCAAGAGGGCATCAGACAGATATCTAAAAAGGGCGGGGGGGAAAGGGCAGGGAAATGGGATTGAATGGGTTGCTCGTTCAAAGAACAGACTCTCAATGGGGCTGAATGGCCTTCTTGTGTGCTGTAAATGTCTGGTTCTATACCAGGGGTGTCAAACTTATCGGGTTGAGTTCACCGCCCCAATCTGCGGGATAATGCCATCCACCTGACCGCTCCCGGTCCCCGCGTGCGCACTATGGCTGCCGCTTTGACCCGAGCCCCCTCACCCCCTCCCTCCCTCCCCCCTCCTCTCTCCCCCCAAACCCTCCCCCCTCTGCATCTCTCCCGCTCTCTCCTCCTCTCTCTCCGTCCCTCTCGTCTTCTATCCCCACTTGACCCTCCCACAACCTCCCTCTGTTCCAGCCTGGGAATCCTCCGCCGGGCTCACCGCGGCACTCGGCGTTGGCTGTCCAGCAGCAGCCACACCGACTGCCCCATTCCCCACCACACTCGCCAGCCACCCCGGACACAGACCCGGGGAGTCAACCTCTCCTCCCTCATCCCCATCCCCATCCCCCCCACCCCTGCCTCACAACCGGGACCCCCCTCCCCTCCCACACACCCTTCTGTCAACCGCTCCCTCCACATCGGACTGCAAAATGTCCGCTCCCTCTGCAACAAGGCCCTGGTCATCAACGATCTCATCCTTGATGAGAACGTTGATATCATGGCCTTGACAGAAACGTGGCTCACCCCAGGCGACACCTTCCCCCTCACGGAGGCCACGCCACCCGGCTACACCTCCCACCACATCCCCCGCCCCAACCGCCGTGGCGGTGGTGTTGCCCTTATCTCAAGGACACCACTTGCCCTATCCCCCTACTCCACTGGCTCTTTCCCCTCCTTTGAGCACCTCACCCTCTCCCACCCCTCATTCCTCTCCCTTAAAATCCTCCTCCTCTACCGGCCCCCTAAAACCTCTCCCACCTTCATCTCTGACATTTCAACACTCCTCACATCTCTTTGCCTCTCCTCTGATCGCCTCATCATCCTGGGCGACTTTAACCTACACTTCACCCCCTCCTGCTCCATCTCCACAGACTTCTCTTCCCTGCTCTCCTCACTCAACCTTTCCCTACACATAAACTCCCCCACTCACAGTCACGGCCACCCACTCGATTTGGTGATCACCCGGGGCCTCAGTGTCTCGGATGTCACTATTACCGACAAGGCCATCTCCGACCACTACTTCATCTCCTTCACCACCTCCACCCCCCTCCCCACCTCCACCAGACCCACCACCATCTTCTACCGCCCTTGGAAGAAGTTACCCCCACAATCCCTAACCGATGCCTTGGAGTCCTCTGAACTCCTCTCCCTCTGGCCTTCAACCCTCACCGACCCCTCTTCTCCTCTCTCCCTCCTCCACAATACCCTCTCCTCCACACTCGATACTCTTGCCCCCATCACTTCCCGCACTGTCTCCTACTCCCGCTCCTCCCCCTGGTACACCACCCACCTCCGCTCACTGAAAAGCCAGGTGCGGGCTGCTGAACGCACCTGTGTCAAATCTGGCCTAACGGTCCACCGACAAATCTGGCTGGACCTCCTCAAAATTTACCGCTCCACTCTAGCCTCGGCCAAGTCGTCCTTCTACTCCAGGATAATCCTGGAGGCGAAGAACAACCCCAGGCTACTGTTTTCCACCACATCCCGACTCCTCCGTCCCCCCGCCACCCCGCGCAGGTCATCTCCTCCAACCTTCACTGCGAGGAGATGCTGGATTTCCTTGAATCCAAGATCAAGGGAATCCGCTCCGCGGTCACTTCCCCTCCAACTTCCACCCACCACCCACCCCTTCCCTCCCACACTCCGACTCCTACCCATCCTCCCCTACACACCTTCGTACCCGTTTCCCCACCCTCTGTCACTGAACTCATCCTATCCCTAAAACCAACCACCTGCTCCCTTGACCCCATCCCCACTCCACTCCTTATCTCCCAGCTCCATTTTCTTGCCCCACACATCACTGACATCATAAACCTGTCCCTCTCCTCTGGCTCTGTCCCCATTCCATTAAAAACTGCCATCATCACGCCCACCCTGAAAAAACCCTCCCTTGATGCGTCGCAGCTATCAAGCTACCGGCCCATCTCCAACCTCCCCTTTCTCTCCAAGGTCTTGGAAAGAGTTGTCGCCTCCCAACTGCGCTCTTTCCTTTCCACCCATTCTCTTTTTGAACCCCTTCAGTCAGGTTTCCGTGCTGCCATAGCACAGAAACTGCCCTGGTCAAGGTCACCAATGATATCCTGACCATCTGTGACCAGGGCTCCCTCTGTCTCCTCGTCCTCCTCGACCTATCGGCAGCATTCGATACGGTCGACCACGCTATCCTACTCCACCGCTTGTCCTCCCACCTCAACCTTCAAGGCACTGTCCTTGAATGGTTTAGCTCTTACCTTTCCCACCGTCTTCACTTCGTCTCAACGAATGGCTTCTCCTCCACCCCCCGTACTGTCTCATGTGGTGTCCCTCAGGGCTCTGTCCTCGGTCCCCTCCTCTTCACCCTCTATATGCTCCCCCTTGGTGACATCATCCGCAAACATGGGGTTAACTTCCACATGTATGCGGATGACACCCAACTCTACCTTTCCTCCTCTACTCTCAACTCCACGACCACCGATGTCCTGACAGCCTGCCTGTCCGACATCGAGTCCTGGACGAGAGACAACTTTCTTCAGCTCAACGTGCGAAAAACCGAGGCCCTCCTGATTGGCTCACGTCAGCGCCTCCGCACCTCAGGCGCTGACACCATCAGCATCCAAGGCTGCACTCTCCACCTCTCAAAGCCAGTCAGGAACCTCGGCGTTTTGTTCGACCCTGAGCTGTCCTTTCTCCCTCACATCCGCACCACAACTGGCACCGCCTTCCATCACCTCCGGAACATCGCCAGACTACGGCACTACCTCACCCCTCACGCTGCTGAAACCCTGGTTCACGCCTTTGTCACCTCAAGGCTGGACTATGGGAACTCTCTCCTCGCCGGCCTTCCCGCCACCTCCCTCCACAAGCTGCAGGTCATTCAGAACTCTGCAGCTCGTGTACTGTCCCGCACCAGGACCACATCACTCCCACCCTCGCTCGCCTCCACTGGCTCCCCATCCCCCAGAGGATTGATTTCAAGATCCTCATCCTCACCTACAAGGCCATTCACGGCCTTGCTCCCTCCTACCTCTCCAACCTACTATCCCCCTACCTACCTGCCCGTACCCTCCGTTCCTCTGGCTCCGGTCTGCTCCACGTCCCCCGCCCCAACCGCCCTACCATCGGTGGTCGGGCCTTCAGCCTCTCAGCCCCGAGGCTCTGGAACTCCATCCCCCAGTGCCTTCGCCGCTTCCTCCCTTTCCTCCTTCAAGGCCGGTCTCAAAACCTTTCTCTTTGACCGTGCCTTCAGCTCCCCTCTCGACTCTCTTCCTCCTCCTCGCTCCCTCCCTTCCCTCCCCTCACCCTGACCATTTCCCCCCTCCTCTCTCCCTCCCTTCCCTCTCCTCACCTTGACCATTTCCCCCCTCCTTGCTCCCTCCCTTCCCTCACCCTGACCATTTCCCCCCTGCTCGGGTCATGACCCAACTGTGCAGCGCCTTGGGACGTCCTCCTGACGTGAAAGGCGCTCTATAAATGGAATCTTGTTGTTGTTGTTGTTGTTGTTGGAAGGGCATTTTAAGTTAACACAGTTCACTTGGTGGGCCTCGCCGCGAAACAAACGTTACACATAATAGTATAAAACAATCCTTGCATTTGATATAGCGCCTTATCGCATCTTTTTGAGGCGTCTCAAAGCGCTTCACAGAATATACCGTAAAGCAAATTGACTACATTTTGTGGGTGAAACAAGGCAGCCAATTGCGAAAAGCAGTGTCCCACAAACAGTCAGGGATTAAGTGACCAAATATTATTTTTTAAAATTAAAACGCATCTGCGTGCCATGATTACAATGTCAATACCGTCATTTACCGCCATTTTTCAGCCACTGAAAAAACCCACTGCCAAAAATAAACTGCTAACTTTCCCCTCCCGCCTCCGCCTCCCTCACTGCCTCCCCCCATCGCCTCTGTCTTCACCCCAACCAATAAACAAAATCTTTGTTGTTTTCTTTTAAAAAGGGCACATAGAATTTTACTA